ATTTACCTCATTATTTAGCCATAATTGGTACTGACTCTCATCACAAACACATGCCCAAGGATAATCATTATCATTAGGATACATAAAGTTGAAATAAGACATAAAACCATCAAAAAAGCAGCAAAAAAGATAAAAAAAGAAATAAAATAAATAAAATAAATAAAATAAGTAGATTTACCTCATTATTTAGCCATAATTGGTACTGACTCTCATCACAAACACATGCCCAAGGATAATCATTATCATTAGGATACATAAAGTTGAAATAAGACATAAAACCATCAAAAAAGCAGCAAAAAAGATAAAAAAAGAAATAAAATAAATAAAAATATATTTATTGATTAATTTACCTCATTATTTAGCCATAATTGGTACTGACTCTCATCACAAACACATGCCCAAGGATAATCATTATCATTAGGATACATAAAGTTGAAATAAGATCCTTGATTCCCTCCTTCGAAATTTTCTGCATTTCCAACCGACGCACCACCAAATAAATTATCCCAAATAGATCCAATTACTCCTGTTAGTTGGAGGAGCGAGGAGGAGGACGAGGAGGACGGGGAGGAGGAGGAGGACAAGGAGGAAGAGGTAGAGGAATCCTTCTTCTTATTCTCCTTCTCCTCCTCTTCCTCTTGCATGTTAATTATTTGGTCCTTTGTTGAGTTAGTTTTGCTTATTATGGTGTTTGTTCTGGTGGGGTTGGTGGGGTTGGTTGTGGTGGAGGAGGAGGAGGGGGAAGAAGATAATGAATGTATTTCTTTTTCTTCTTTTTTATCTACTCCTTTATCTTCTTGTTTATTATTATTATTATTATTATTATTATTATTATTATCTTCTTCTTCTTCTTTTTTATCTCCTTTTTTATTTTCTTCTTTTTCTTCTGTCTTTTTGAATTTTCCTATTTTTCTTGTTTCTGCAATAAATACACAAAAAAAAGAAAATAAATACAAATAATAATAAAATAAATAATTATATTTATTTATTTATTTATTTATTTATTTATTTATTTATTTATTTATTTATTATTATATTATGTATAGAGAGGATAATCATAAACACCTCTAAAGAACAATATACTACACACAAGTTTAACAGCAACAACAGCAGCAGCAGCAACAGCAGCAGCAGCAGCAGCTGTTGCTGCTGCTGCTGTTGCACAGCAGCAGCAGCAGCTGTATTTATATGTGTTGCTTACGTAGTGCAGCAGCAGCATCTTTTGCTTTTTGTTTTGCTTGCATGCATTCATTATTTTGTGTATCTACTTCGCATATTTGTAGTGCTTCTTTTGCTGCTGTTGCTGCTACACTAAATTGCTGCTGCTGCTGCTGCTGCTGCAGTAATTTAGATAGGGCCCCCCATGAGGCCCCCCTTTTTATTAAATCATCTGTTTCTTGCCAATGCTGCTGCTCTGCTGCAGCAGCAAGCTGCTCAAGAGATAGGAGCTGATGTTTTGCCCCTACTATAGGTGTATTTCCTTCCTCATGCTGCTGTTGCTGCTGCTGCTGCTGCTGGTGCTGCTGCAGCAAACTGTTATCCATTGATAAAATAAATGATGAATTATTTACATTTGTTTTCTTCTTATTTATATCCACAGATATACAAACTGCAAACATATACACACACATACACAATAAATATATTTATTCTGCTGCTGCTGTTCTCTCCGCTGCTGCTGCTGCTGCTGCTGCTGCTCGTGCTGTTGGTGTTTGATGGTGCTGCTGCTGCTGCTGTTGGTGTTGTTGCTTTCTACTGTATATGCACTCTCTACTGCAACAGCAGCAGCTGCAGCAGCAGCTGCTGCAGTTGCTGCTGCTGCTTTCTACGGCATATGCTCTCTCTATTGCAACTTCTGCTCTATACTGCTGCTGCTGCTGCTGCTGCTGCTGCTGCTGCTGCTGCTTTCTACTGCAGAAGCTCTCTACTGGTGCAGCTGTCTACTGCAGCAAAGGCTGTATACTGCTGCTGCTGCTGCTGCTGTCTTCTGCTGCTGCTGTCTGCTGGCTAGCCCGTCGATACAACACGGGGGGCCGGGGGGCAGGCTTGGGTGTACAGACAGCTGAAATGAGCAGCAGCAACAGCAGCAGCAGCAGCAGCAATACGGGAAAATTTAAGAAGACACATATATATGAAGCAAACTGGGGAAGCTAAGAAGAAGGCATTGACCGCTTGCTGCTGCTGCTGCAGCAGCTGCTGCTGCTGTGGTCGATTCCTTCCTTGCTGCTGCTGCTGCTGCTGCAACTCACAAGTGAAGCAAAGATAAAGCAGCAGAAAAGGCAGCCAACACTTTTGCTGCTGCAGCAAAAATCTTCTTGCTGCTGAGGCCATTGCCGTTATTTCTTAAGACCGCGCACGCGACAGCTGCTCATCGTGGCTGCTGCTGCTGCTGCTGCTGCTGCTGCTGCTGTTGCAGCATGTAAGTGCTGCAATGAGACAAATGAACTCAAGATCATACAAAATGTTGAAAACTTTATGGGAAAATGCATGCCTTCTGCTGCTGCTGCTGCCCAGGCTGCTGCTGCTGCTGCTGCTGCTGCTGGAGATCTTGCAGCCCTCAGCAGCAGCAGCAGCAGCAGCTGCAGCAGCAGCAGCAGCAGCAGCGGGAGAGGTCCCTGCTGCTGGATGCGTTAATTCCCCCCTTTTTTCTAGCGACAAAATTGTCTTTTTATTTATTTTTAAGAAAGAGGAGAAAATTTACGTTTATTTCCAATTGAGAGCAGCAGCAACAGCAGCAGCAGCAGCAACAGCAGCAGCAGCAACATGAGTTCCATCGAGGTTATACCGGGGAAGACTAGGATCGGTTAGTTTTTTACTCCTTTTTTTTTGCTGCCTCCTCTGAAGTGTACGTACACCGCAGAATTACTGCTGATATATACAGAGTGTCTAACTCCTTACACATACCCCCCAAGCAAGACATGAGGGTTTAGGGTTTAGGGTTTAGGGTTTAGGGTTTGCGGCTTTAGGCTGGATAGGGACGGGTGTGATGGGCCGACCGATGTGCGAAAATATCTTGAAGAAAGGATTTTCTCTAACAGTGTACAAGTCAGTATCTTGCTGCTGCTGCTGCTGCTGTTGCTGCTGTTGCTGCTGTTGCTGCTGCTGCTGCCCTTGCTGTTGCTGCTGTTGCTCCTGTTGCTGCTTCTGCTGTGTTACTCTGAGGGTAGAAAAGGCTTGCCTTTCCTGTCTTGAGGGCAGCAGCAGCAGCAACAACAACATCGTCAAGGGCTGTTGTGGCCGCAGCAGCAGCAGCAGCAGCAACGCTATCAGTCCGTGCAACAGTACCTGCTGCAGCATGCTTAGGTGAATCCGCAGCAGTCTTTGCAGCAGCAGCAGCAGCAGACGATGATTGGCTTGCTGTTTGTTGCTGCTGTTGTGTCTGCAGCCGTACCGCCAGCAAAGCTGCTGCGCTGCAGCAGCTAGGTGCTGCTGTTGCTGCTACTGCAGCAGAAGTAGCAGCAGCAGTAGATGTTCTTTGTATTATGGTGGGGACACCTGATGATGTTCAACAACTCATCTGTACGTACACCCCAAAACCCTAAACCCTCAACGATGCGCTGCTGCACCACCACAGCAGCAGCAACAGATGCTGCAGCAACAGTTGCAGCAGCAACAGCTGCAGCAGCAGCAGTGCTTTGTCGTTGTCTGATTGTCTATGGATGTTTGTTCTTATGAAAGTTTTGCTTTTTGCTTCTTCCTCCCTTTATTTGTTGTCTTATTGCGCTGTTTCTAAGGGTTTAGGGTTTAGGATTTAGGGTTTAGGGTTTAGGGTTTAGGGTTTAGGGTTTACGTGTATGTGCAGTGGGTCCCGGTGGTGTATCTTCTCGTCTTTCTCCCGGTTCTTATTTTGTTGATTTTACAACATCTTCTGCTTCCTTAGCAGAGGAGGTGTACGTACACCTCAAGGAAAAGGGGGTTGCAGCAGTTGATGCACCAGTTACTGGAGGCACGTAAACCCTAAACCCTAAACCCTAGAAGCTAAACCCTAAACCCTATAACCGGTAAAAATGGACCGCAAAACGCTCGAAATCCGGGAAGAAATCTGAATTACCAGAATTTAGGATTTAGTTATTAGGGTTTAGGGTTTAGGGTTTAGGGTTTAGGGTTTGTGTGTGTAGGAGATGTGGGGGCAAGGAATGGGACGCTCACAGTGATGGCTGGCGGAGACGCAAAAACATTTGAGAATCTTCGCCCCCTTTTTGAGGCAGTAGGAACAAATATCATTCATGCAGGGCCTGCAGGATCAGGTAAGGGTTTAGGGTTTAGGGTTTAGGGTTTACTAGGGTTTTGGGTTTATTAGGGTTTAGGGTTTAGGGTTTAGGAAAGGCGGGTGAAGCACTCAGTACTTGGGAAGTCGCAGACCAGAGTTTCAGTCTCGGTCCCAGTGGTTTGGAGTTTGGGGTTTAGGGTTTAGGGTTTAGGGTTTGGTGTTTAGGGTTTAGGGTGTGTGTGCAGGCCAGAGGATGAAACTCTGCAACCAGATTACCCTATGTACAAACCTCGTCGGCCTGGCGGAAGGTCGGTTGTCTGTTTGCTACAGTGTAGCCTAAACCCTAAACCCTAAACCCTAATTGGTATACCTCGGATTGAGGGTTTACGGCTAAGGGTTTAGGGTTTAGGGTTTGTGGCTCAGGTCTTCTCTTCGCCGAACGGGCTGGGCTCGACATTGAGAAGACTCTTGCAGTTCTTTCTGGAGGAGGAGCAGCGAGCTGGTGAGTCCAACTGAACATTAACAGCAACAGCAGCAGCTGCAGCTGCAGCAGCAACAACAGCAGCAGCAAGGCAGCCACATCGGTAACGGGAGTACAGCACGGTTTCCTGTTGTTTAACGTTTAGGCATTAGGGTTTAGGGTTTGTTCATATCCTCCTTACCATTTATTGTTCGCTCACATCTCTAGGCTGCAGATGCAATTGGCTTCCTAAACTTAGGGTTTAGGGTTTAGGGTTTAGGGTTTAGGGTTTAGGGTTTGTGGTTTAGGTCGGTGTCTACCTACGGACCCCGCATCCGCGACGGCGACTTTCGTCCGGGTTTTTTTGTTCGTCATTTAGTTAAGGATTTACGATTGGCTTTAAATGAGGCAGCAAGATTAAAACTGGCTCTACCAGGTCCTAAACCCTAAACCCTAGACCCTAAACCCTAAACCCTAGGTTCCTAATAGCCGCAGCACGCGGACATGGATTGAATTTCTGCGCATGCACTTTTGAAGGTGTTTAGGTGTTCTTGTGCTCTGCAAGTTTTGTCCCCAACCTATATGACCTAGGGACTAGGGTTTAGGGTTTAGGGTTTAGGGTTTATGTGTGATTCAGGTTTAGGGTTGGCGCTGCAGCTGTATCAGGCATTAGAGGCACAAGGAGGAGGATCCTTAGGAGTGCATGCATTAAAGATCGCGTTAAATAATATTAATGCACAAAATAAATCTATAGAGGATGTTGTAGGACAACTCAATTAAAGTCCTGCTGCTGCTGTTGTTGCAGCAGCAGCAGCACCAACAGCTGTTGCTGCTGCTCCAGTCGTGCGCTGTACCTGGCTCCAGCTGGTATTCCTCCAGCAGCACTGTGGTATTTCCTGCTGCTGCTGCTGATGCAGCAAGATTTGTTGCCACATTTAGCTTTGCTTTTTGCTGCTGCTGCTGCAGTAGTCGCTGCTGCTGCTGCAGCGCTAATTGCTGCAGCTGGCGCAGGTTTGCCTCTTAAGAAGAAGCAAATATCATTAGAAGCTGCAGCAGCAAACGAGTTGAGTCAAGGCGTTTGCTGCTGCAACTGGGTGTCTATAAACCGGGAGAAGGGCCTGTTTTTTTCTATCTCTTGCTGCTGCATCATGCAGCAGCAAGAGATATACTTCCTTTTCCCCGTGCTGCTACTTGCAGCAATTATCTTTTTCTTTCCCTGAACCTGTTTAGATGTATATACTCTTTCTTCTCTCTATTTCTTTATTTGCTTTTTACATTTTGTCGTTGTGGGCTCAGTTAATGAGGAGGGTGTTAGTTAAGGAAACCCTAAACCCTAAACCCTAGCTAGGCGGACATCCCCTCTCTTATGGCAAAAAATGTTTAATAATAATGCAGATATTGAAATATACGACATATGCCAACTTTTTGCTCATTATTTTTATCTAGACAAGAAAAGGGGCTTTTATCAATTGTGCTGCATGCACAGGAGAAAGTGAGTCTAAACCCTAAACCCTACACCCTCAGGGTTTAGGCGTGAAGGGCTTAAACAATTTTTGCCGGCTAAAACACGGCAAACAGTTGTTAGATACGCCCTTAAAAACACTGAAAGAGTCTAAACCCTAAACCCTAAACCCTAACCCTCTAAGAAACAACACCTGTTGTCACCTCCTACTCCACCTGCGTATCATCGTCCTCTCTGCCCCCAACGAAGGAAGGTCCTCCTGCCTTCCTAAACCCTAAACCCTAAACCCTAATTCCCCTTAAGGAAACAAAGGCAAAATTGGGCAAAGAAAGGAATGTTTATTCCGTGTTCATAGCAAAGAAAAACATAGAAACGAAGGGGAAATAAACTAAGGTTTAGGGTGTGTCTTATTTCTTATTTGCTGCTAGTGCTGTCAACTAATGGGGTTGATTTCAGCATTAAAGCTGATAAGCCTTTGCTATACGAGAGGGTTTCAAGGAGTGCAGCTAAACCCTAGACCCTAAACCCTCGGAAACCCTAAACCCTAGGCACCTGTAAACCCTAAACCCTGAACCATAGAATTCGGTTGTCGTCTAAAGCAAAGTTATCCCCAACTGCCCTATTTAATGTAAAAATAATACTCTTTAATATCTTTTAATTAAAATGTTATTAAAAAAGGCAATAAATATGCATTAAAGGCTGAAGGCCCACAGCTGCTCTTTCTTTTGCATGCATGCAGCAGGAGAGAAGAAGAGAGAAGAGAGTGCGGCGAAGGGAGAAGAGTCGGGGCTGCGAGAGTGTAGGGGTTTTCGCTATATTGTTGCATCTCCTTTGTTGCATTTTCTTCTTCTTCTTTCTATACTTTAGACTGTAAACCCTAAACCCTAAACCCTAAAGACTGTACAAAATGGCAGACAAAGAGGAGTGCGCTGCGCCTGCCGCCCCCAACAACGAGGAGGACGACGTGGCCAATCTTGAACAAGAAGTTACAGAAGGAAACTGGACTCGTCCAGAAGTACGAAACCCCAAACCCTAAGCCCTAAACCCTAATCCATGATTCACAACACCACCCCACGCCACACTCTTCGACCTCCTTCACCTCCCAAAGCTGCCTTGCAGCCCTTACGACTCAGGGGCCCCAGAGAAGGGCCCCTATTAATGCATCTTTGTTGCTGCTGCAACACATATATCCAAGAGAAATGCATAACTCCCCATAGCAAACATTTCCTCCTGTATTTGCATCCTTGGTGTGGAGCAGCTTCCTTGCTGCTGATATCCTCATTGCTACTAATAAGTCTTTCCGTTTCTCTTCATCTGAGCTTTTTTCTTCTTTATTTCCTTTTTTCCTTTTATTTTATCGAGGCGATTGCTGTAGCGGTGTGGCATGCAGCAGAGGGCTGCTGCCGCTTACGGCTTCTCTTGTATTTTTGTGTCGTCGTGTGTATCTGTTTTCTGTCTTTCTCTCCTTTCCCCTTGGGGTTCGTATTACTTCAAAGGTTGAATGAGGCACCGGTGCATGTATAATTCAGCAGTACATTAAGGACATGTACCGCAATTACTGTAGCCTCTGTTTATCTGCGGCGATGGGGCTAAAGAATATATGCGTCTATGCAAAGAAAGCATGCATTATATATGTAATTATTTATTTGCATGCATGCATTGTGTCTGCTACATGCACTTTCTGGTGTTATATAACATATTTCCTCCTAAGGACAGCCTTTTCTCCTTGTTTGTCTTGTTGCATGCATGCTTCAGGTTGAAGTTCATGAAGTGAAGGTTGAGACAGGAGAAGAGGATGAAGAAACCTTTTGGAAATGCCGTTCTAAGTTATACAGATGGGCTGGTAGCGAATGGAAGGAGAGGGGTCTGGGGGAGGCAAAGTTGCTACAGCATAAGGAAACAAAGAAGATCCGCTTCCTGTTGAGACAGGAAAAGACACTCAAGATCGTAGCCAACCACTACGGTGCGCAAGCTTACTTGCATGTATACATGGGGAAACATGCAGCAAGCTTTGTTGGGGCAGCACGCTGTGTTGCTGCAGGCAGCAATATTGTTTCAAATACGCCTTAGTGCTGATAGGCATAGCGGAAGTTGCATGATGCACCTGCAGAAACCCTATCAGTTTTTTTGATATTCTTTGTCGGTGTTTGTCTCATGTTTATACTTTCATTTTGGTTTTGTATGAATGTGAATTGGCATTTGCCTGTTGTTTTCTTCTTTCGTTTGCTGCAGTTGTTGCGACAGACGTCTACTGCAAATTGACCCCCAATGTCAGTTCGGAGAAGATATGGGTGTGGACAGTTATGGATTTCGCGGAGGGGGAATTGAAGAATGAGCAGTTTGCCCTCAAGTTTGGCCAAGTTGAACGTAAGCTGACGATAACGAAATAAGCACACGACAAAACAGGAAGAATAGACAAGGTAGAGGAAGCAGCAGCAGCAGCGAATGAGAAACAGAGGGAAAAGAAAAGAAGCAACGACTCAACTAGACATGCTCCGCCATTACCTCCAGTTTCATGTTTGACGAAACACAGAAATTGAGAAGGAGCACGCAGGTTACTGCCGCCGAGGTGTACGGACACCGCAGCACGCACGCATATACAAACACAGACTGGCACATAAGAAAATGGATTTTGTGTTAGTTTGCTTTCTTCAGAGGCCAAGGAGTTTAAAGAGAAGTTCGAGGAGGCGGCGACAATAAACGCAAAGTTATTTGGTATTGAGGAGAGTGGCAGCAAGGAGGGGGAGAAAGCTGAAAAGAAAGAAGGTAGCGACGAAAAGACGGAGAAGGATGCAGAAAAGGCCGACAAAGAAAGCAAATCAACAGAAGCCGGGAAGACCGAAACATCTGAAGAGTCAAAAGACAAGGAAAAAGCCTGATGACTCTGCAGAAACCGTGTTGACACTTCGTTTTGCGTATTACTGTGGTTATTCCATTATATGGAGTACACAGGCATTCATGTATTTGCATGTATACCTACCTGTATGCATATACATGCATGCCTGTACACATACATATATGTATATAAAAATCATGCATAAATCCATACCTATATATGTATATGTATTCTCGTTGTTGCAATAGAGTACCTATTCATAGAGAACTCCACGCAGGGAGGGTTGAATGCCTTTTCGCGTCTCTCTTTGATCGCAGCATGCGCTGTTTGGTGAACCCTAGATAGGAGAACAGAAGGAGGAAATGGGGTTCTTATGAGGGAGGCATAAGAGAGGGTTTTGGCTTTGCTGGATACTGACAGCGGGTAGGAGGAGGTGCCCGAGAGTGTCTGTCCTGTTGTGTTATCTATCTAATGCAATACAAACCGTCATTTGCAAAAAGTGTACTTCAAACAAACAAAAGAAGAAAAGATCACACCACACCATCACCGATTCTTCCTTGTCTTTCTTCCTTGCGTTATAATAACAATCAATAGAACACCCAAAGTTGACGCATTAATAGATGATAGCATTCATAAAATGGGGAAATTTGTGATTATATATATAATATATATAATATATATATGCTTTTATTTTAATTCACATTCACGAATGCAGACAGGCGGAAATGAATTAATCTATGACTATGCATCCCCTGCAGCCACTTAGTTTTGTTGCATTTTCTTCTTCGGCATGCCTTCATGCCTTTAGTCTTATGATCCGTACTTGTGCATAATAATAGGCATCTCCGCATTGCGGCCTTCAGCTGTATGTACAACTTTTGATGAAACCACACGATTAACCATTTGTAGGAAACCAACAAATGCCATTTGAGTTTGCAGATCAACTATACTACATACAAAGAGGCATGCAGGAAGAACATTCCTCGTTTCTCTAGAGGAGCTGCACCTCGTTAGATACGCTTTGACTGTCTTCGTAGCTAGATTACATACTACCCTACGTGTAAGCCAATTAGTAGGCATTGTTTGTGATTTATTGAGCATCACCAAGTCACTGTGTCGCAAGCGTAAGCAAGCAGATAGGAATACAGTGTGTATGCTTATTTGTTTCTCTTATTGTTGAAGACGCGTCTATTCTTTTTCACTAAAAATATCATATGCGACTACTTGTGGTGTGTATATCCACAAAATAACCTTCCATTTACTGGAAATGGGGAGGTGACTATATTAACAGGAATTGCTTGCAGCGTGGCTGCGCAGCTCCCTTGAGTTGTGCAGAATAAAAAGTCTTCATTCATTGGATGACAAATAATTCAATGATGATTAGTGGCTGATGTGCATTCTGCACTTCTTCAAAGAGAGCGCAGCAGAACCTGTGTCTGCAGGGTATACACTAAGCTAGCTCGTATTGCATTGGGGAAGGGAAACAAGTGACAGCTTTCGGGAAAGCTACGAAAAAGAAAACAAACATAGAGGATGCGAGATCCCAGCATTGAACAGAACTTAGTGCACCTCCTGCTGCTGCTTTGTGGATCTCATTGGCGATTCCTTTCAGAACAGCAAGAAACCCACAACAACTGCCGAAACCGCGGTCATCACCCCGAAAGCAGACGGAGAGGTAGCGCTGCCCTTCTTAAGTGGTGCTTGGGTTGTGCTTGTGGTTGTTGTTGGGTCTGAACTACGGCCCCCAGCGCCCGCTGCACTGGTGACGCTGGCTAGCATGGCGGATGGGGTTGTGGATTCCTGGATGGAGCTGCGAGATTCTTCTTTCTTTTCGGTAATCTCGGATTCGCTAAGGAGAGCAGGTTCTGCCTTAGGAGCAGCAGGAACCGTGGTTTCAGCAAGAGCAACAGGTGCGGGAGCCGGGGTAGAAATAGAGGCAGGGGCAGCGACAGGAGCAGGTGTAGAAACGGATGTAGCAGCAGGGGCAGGAGTAGTAGCAGGTGCAGGGGTGGGAACAGGAGCGGGAGCAGTACGGGTAGCAGGGGCAGAAGTAGTAGTAGCAGGTGCACCACGAGTAGAAGCACCACGAGTAGAAGGAGTAGCAGGGGCGGGAGCAGCACGAGTAGAAGGAGTAGCAGGGGCGGGAGCACCACGAGTAGAAGGAGTAGCAGAAGCACCACGAGTAGAAGGAGTAGCAGAAGCAGGAGCAGCACGAGTAGAAGGAGTGGCGGAAGCAGGAGCAGCACGAGTAGAGGGAGTAGCAGAAGCAGGAGCACCACGAGTAGAAGGAGTAGCAGAAGCAGGAGAAGCACGAGGAGCAACAGAAGGAACAGATGCACCAGGAGCAACGCCCTCTGCTACCGCTGGCTTAGTAGGAGCAGGCTGCGAAACAGGGGGAGAAGAAGGAGAAACAGAAACAGTTGTTGCAGGAACCGGGGCAGGAACAACCTCGCTTGACTCGTCAATAGAGGAGGAGCCATCATCTGTCTCAGACTCAAAGTCTATATCAGAGGTTTCAGCTGGGGGTAGAGGATTGGCTGCATTCAAAAAAAACCCACAAAAATTCCAAAATCATATGCTGTTGCCGCTACGTTTCTGCAGGTTATCTTGTAAATTACTCGGCTGCTCTATATTCTCCCTATTTTATTGAATTCACTTACCCTCAGAGTTGCCCTGTGCAGCGATGCCTCCTGGGCCGCTGGGGGGCTTGCTGGCCCCTTCTGAGCAACAGCACACAAAGAAGTCAGTGAAAAATGAAAAAACGATTTAATTGAGATGCGTTAGTCGCTTCTCTGTGCTAGGTGTTCGTTCGATGCAAAGGATTGCAGAGGTCCGCAAACAGCAACTCTTCAATCACGCAATCTCCTGGTCGGCACCTTTGCGACCTTTGAAAACAATGGTTGAAATGGCTCTAAATGCTCTCTGTGTTTATTTGAAACAAAATAAATTTGAATTTGAACAAAATATGGGGTGGGAACGCCAGGCTTTCGATGTTGGAGGCATCGGTTTCTGTTTGTTTTCCGTTGCCCTTCTAGGAGCGCCCAGCGGGGGCGGTTAGAAAAAAAACCGTTTTTATGCGTTCCCACCATTTAATGTAGGAACACACAAATGCAAAAAACGCACCTGATTGGAGGGCTCCGGAAAGTGGCAATTTTGCCTCGGCGTCCAAAGCGCACAAGGCGCTAGCTGAGATAACGGCAAACACCTTCAGGACTCCCATTGCTGGTGGTGGGAAAATGACAAAAACTTAGAAGGGAAACAATATACCAGGGTAAAAAAAGACGACGAATATGAATGGTGAGGGAGCGAACAGTCGCACGAAACAGGGGGAACGCCGGGCGTCTCCACGTTGGCCACGAGGGGCCAGCTAGCAGCCGTAGGGGCCCAGCAGTAACGAACGGGGTGTGCCAAAAAAAGGGAAAGTAATCAAAGCAGGTTCAAAATAGAACACAAATAAAACAAACCAACAAACCAGGTGTAACGAAATGACCAAAGAAGGAATAATCCTCAAATTCGGAAATTTCCCAAGGTCTCAGCGTCCCCATTCGCCCCACTGTGTTGCCAATCCGCATTGATTTATTCAATCACCTTTGGGCGTACACATAGATTTATGTATGCATGCATACGTATAGTTTTTTTTTAATTTTTATTTATTAAGTATATATATTGCTTTGCTGCTGGTAACGAGCGCCTGTACAAGGGGTTCAAAGCCTTACTGGTCCCCATTAGCCTCAGAAGTCCCCCCCACCTCTGATAAGCGTGTGAGGCCCAGCCTCCGGTTGGTGGGCGTGACGGGTTGTAACTGCAGCATTTTTGAGGGGAATACCATACTTTTAAGTAAGCATTTCAATATTTTGTGGACGTTTAATGTTTTAATTCAACGTTTAGCAAAGAAACCCACAAAAATTGCTTCTCATACAGGGAGAAGTTGCCACTGCACCGGCCACAGAAACACGCCGGTTGGAACTTGGCCGTGTGCAAATTCGCACCTCTTAAGCTCATAAGCTAAAAAACCAACAAAAAAGTCCCGTAGAAGCATCAAAAATTGTAGGGACCGCTTCAATTTCAATTTCAAATGGTTGCTCAAGCGCTGTTAGGAATAAGGCTTAATTCCCCTAGCGTGTGTCTATCGATTTCCACGAACATGCTTTGCGTTCTTGTAAGTCCGTCGTCACTTTTTTTTCCAAACACTTTTTCTAATTGTGCAGAAACTTGTATTTTCCGTTGTAAACAACCCATCTTGCGTTCCCTTTGGCACTTGGCAGTCCCCACTCTGCATTGCTCCATCCGACAAATGATGCGAAACGCTGCTTCCTATAGTTGTGGGTGGATGCCAGCGGAATATAGCGTTGAATATTTATGAACTCCCTTGGATACTGCACTGGACACAGGGTAAACAAAATAGCAAGCATAGAAAAGCGCCAAAAGTATCGTTTCCACTTGCGTAGAAGCTATCCTACGGAGCTCTTGATGACAGTGATGAAGAGAGGTGTATTTCCAAATTATATCGGGTGTATAGCCCCATTATAATAGATTCATTTTATTGCACCCTTTACGTTTAAACAGACATTCATAACGTAGTTGGCTGGCTCTTATGTTTATTGTTGCATTCTGGTGGTGATCCTTCGGCGAATGCTATGAGCTAAATCCCATACGAAAAGCTTATTTTGTATCTGAAGTGACTTCTTGTCCGTATTTCATCACTGAAGAGAGTGAACAGTATTAAAGCACAAAAGGAGTTCGCGGTGATAGTTGCTACGAGAGCTGGGTCAAGGCAGGTGATGGTGAACCAGTGGATAGACTAGAAATGAGTCTTGTTGCAAATAGGGATATTTCAGACGAAACTAAAAAAAAAAAGAAACTCTGTATTAATAACACCTAGGCACATTGGTGAAGCAGAGATGTGATGAAATAGCAGATAAGCTTGTACTAGCCTTTTCCACAATTCAGCCTAATAGTATGATGGTAGTATGGTTTAAAAAGTATTTGTTGATGCGGCAAGCTGATGAAAAAGGTGCATCAGTTCTATCAGCAGGAAGTGCTAGGCACTGCGACTTTGGAGGAGAAAAAAGGTTCTGGAGGGGTGGAAGAAGGGCGAAGGGCGGTTATCAACAGCAAATATGCTGTTGCAGGCACTGCAGGAGATTTTATGCCTGACAAGATATAAAATTAGATGCAGCAGAGGTTTTTCATCCGTACTCTGGACGTTTTCTTAATTCAGCAGTATAAGAAACTCAAAATAACAGCAGAGGCAGCCGCCGTGAGGTTTGCGACGGACGAAGACGCAGCCGACGGCCTAAGAACTTCCACATTAGTTGTTTCTGTTGTTGTTGTAGTTACTGCTGTTGTTCCTGTTGAAGTTGCTTTCGTCGTGGTTGTTGTGGATGAGCTGCTGCTGCTTTGACTATCTGCGCCGGCAGCACCTAGTTCGCCTTCCTGTAGAAGAGCAACGTCAAGGGGTGACCCCTGAATATCTTCTGCCTCCTCTGGTTTTTCCAGATCATCTACTTTTGGGACATCAGCTTCATTCACAATGGCGTCGCCTACGTACCCAAGCAACACAGTTGTGAAGGCAAATGAACCGTCGCTGATGTGAGTGTCCTTACATTTTTTGCTGTGCTTGATACTTATCGTTGGGTTGTGGTTTAGTACCTCCAGCATCTATCTTGGGCTGCACATTTTCACCTGCGAGCAGCACACACCAAGCCACCAATGGGCAAGCGACGGCTTACGAAGTCACATATGCGACTGCTGGGGTGGGAAACTTTTGTGGGTGATGTGCGCTTCATTCACTGCACCAAAACGACTCTTTTCTGTATAAAACGAGTTGAAATAAGGAGGAAGGGAAGAAGATAATGTGCCATGGGAAGGATCAGAGCTATGTATGAACGCTATTGTGGGCTGCTGGGGAGTGCAGCACGCGCAGCATTTCTTTGTGCCCTCCTCTATCTCCATTTGTCTTCTGCTTATGCAGGGAGAGCTGACTGTGGAATCACGAAGAGGTCTTTGGCCTCTGATTGCCTCTAGAGTTCAAAAAAAAAATTAGAAGCTCACCGGTGCCGAGCTGTTCCTGAAGGGATATGCTGGCTGACGAATCCAAGGCAAACAGAGCGCTTGCTGAGAGAAGTGCCAAAACCTTGAGGAACCCCATTTTCGGCCATGCAAAACAATGAAATGTTGTTAAGAAAAACTGGGCATGCGAGAAAATGAAATACTGACGCTTAAGCCATAATGGAATTCCTACATGGATTGCTCGCGCAAAAGACTCTGAGCCTCACTGTCGGTCGTCGCCTGTGGCAGCCAGTTTAGGATCCACATGTAGCCAACAGACAGTCAACCACCAGGAGCATATGTGCAGAATAATTACCCGCAAAAGTCGTTTTTCTCTAACGAAACAGATGAAATTGAGTTCTAAAGCCCAATTCTAAAAGATGATCGCGCTTAAACGTGCACTAATGCAAAGTTTTGTCCGAGCAGTCGGCGGTGCCGCTGTCTCTCCCCGTACCGCTGATAGATTGTGAATGACTTCACGCTGACTCTTATGTGCAAATAGGCGAATACGGTTGGTCCTTAAGCGATAAACAGGAAGACAAACTCCTTGTGATCTTCTCACAAGGATTTCGGTTTCGCAAGCGTCTGAACCGTCGCTGCCGTAAACCACTACAGGGTTGAGACTCCGAGGGCAAAAGATTGTTTGAGCTTCTTCCCCCACTAACATGTGTAATGCAGATAATAGTTATCACCTAGTACAAGCATTACATGGGACGTATTTACGACCTATACAATTCACAGATAAAACATATCACATTTTATATACGTATACTAATATATACATAGCGGAGCTAGTATCTATAATAACTTCCATTGCTAATCATTGCTCTTGACGTCCTTATTCAACTGCTGAGAAGCTGGCTTCCTTTCCACCAGACCCAGAGGTAGCCACAGACTTCATCCGTCGTCGCAATTGAGAGGGGGCACGCAGCATCCACAGATTTCTTCTAACGGCGAATATCGTTCTTTCTTAAGCCTACAAAACTATTGAGCATTATTAAAGATCGCAACAGTCACTCATTCTAGTTTGACCCTCTACGTTCCTGCCGCCATAGCTCTAACAGCTGAGTTTTAGCTGAAAATTGCAATGAAACCTGTTGCTAGATAAGAACCACCGATATTTTCGTCTGATTTTCTTGCGCTTGAAGCACTGAGAAGTTCGACCTTCTGCAAAAATTTCTTTTGCCAGGTTATTTCCTCACTGTTCATTCAAAGTGGCACACACCCATAGTTTGTCCAAACGCTGTACCCACTAGACCTTATTCATGGGAAGGCGCTCTAGATTATTTAATTCCAGATGCCTCTGCACTTGTATTTCCTCCTGTGGCCCTCTTCGTAGTTACGTCGGCGTTGCTTTTCGTTTTGGGTGGCGATAGTCTAGTTGGAGCTGCTGATATGGGCTATGATTGGCTTGCTGCCGTTGATGACGACGCCACAATTGTGGGTGGTGTTGCTGGTCTGACAATTGAAGGGTCCTTGACTCTCTACTTTGGGCTCTGGTGGTGGTGTTGTTTAGCCCTCCAGGCCCCTTTCTGCTGCAAAGCGGTTAAGTAGAAAAGATTTGACAAATCAAAACAATGTAATACCGGTGAAAATCAATAGGGCCCGATTGACCTGGAGTCTAATTTACTGTTGAGAAGCCCCATTGAGGCTTCTCGTCCTATTTTAGAGTTGCATGCGCAGCTTCCCCCTGAAATGTATAGAGATACGGATGAAATATATCTTCCCCTTATTGATTTCAAAGTGAGTTGTCTGCATTTGCTCACTAAACCCAAGTGGCGGCTGGGAACAACTTCGTTCATAGATCCCTGGTGGAGGGGAATTTTCACCTAGTGCGCTGTTTAGAAACAAGTAACACGAATCCGAAAAAGCAGATGCAGTACAGGAGAGAAGATGGGAAATTCGCCGGTCTTCTCCCAAGAGCATTCAAAAACAGCAACTCTTAAGCAAAGAAAGACCGGCAGGGAGCTGGTTCTTTTTCATTTGATGTTGTGTTTTTCTTCTTGCAACAGTTAAGGTAGATGGGCATCGATGGCTGATTACGTGAGATGACAGGAACAATCGAAGGCAGAGAGACGCAGAAGTCACACGCCATGCACCCTAACATATGTCATGAAGACCGTCTTAGTCTGCTGCACCCCTCTTGAGCGCATTTGACTTCTGTCCCACAGGATATCCAGTCTGACATTTGCATGCAACATATAGCGAATGACACGGGGTGCTTCGTTGGTGATGTTTGATTTGTTTCCATTAATGGGATATCTGTTCTTGAAATGCATCTTTACAGGATTGATACGACTACCGTTACTCGGGAACACTCTTTCTTTCGTTTTCCTGCCCAGGTCTCCACTACGGAGCGGGCAGGGTGAGCGGGCAGGGTGTTTTGGACCGAGGGGGCAAGCAGTACGCCCCATACAGTGTCGTAGTTGTGGAAATTGCGAGTGTAAGGGTGGGACTGGCGCAAGTGAGTATCCAGACTATGGTACTAACGTGCTGAGCTGCGTATGGCGCGAATGCGGAGAAGCATTTTTGCGCTAGTGAAGGCTGGCGCCCCCAGAGGTAACAAGCATTGCAAACTGACTGATTGTAAGCGCGAGTGTCGTCTTCGTCGGTTTGGCAATAATGAAGCCCTGCAAAAATATCCTAAATATAGCCGCTTATTATCCAATACTCATGGGCGGCAGACATGGATGAGCATACCACGGGAAAGTCGGTAACTGTTTCATTGGAAACTCTTAGGTGCACTTCCACCAGTTGCAAAAAGTGGAAAAAAGGTCTTTAAAGTGTGGGAACACGACGTAGCTTTAGTCGCTCGTTTGCAGCACTAATGCAGTCCCAGACAACACCCAGAAAGAGGCATGCTCAGAAAAAGGCAGCCAAGCATCAAAGACCCAACCCTCGCCCATGGCGTTCCGGCGGCCTTCTGTGGCGTACACGGGAGTGCGCAGAAGACTGCGTACATTGAGTCGGTTTGACTCAATAGGAATCACTTTTACAAGAGGCATTTCTTCCGACAACTTCCGAGGTGTCTGCGGAGCCAACCGCTCCAGCGAGCTGTCCCATCTAGCGCCCTGCAAATAAAAATCACGAGCAGCTTGTGACGAAGTGAGCTGAAGCGGCAATTATGGTGGACAGACCACTAAAAGCAGAGGGCTGCGTTTACCTCAATGTACATTCCTTCTACGTAGGCGCCGTGTTCCAGGCTCTCCTCAATCTGAGAAGAGGAGCTCAGCTGTGTAACCTCTGTTGAGAGCACCAGCTTGTCTAAGGCTACTTTCTTCTTGCGGCTCGTGACTTGAATGAGAGCAGTCAAAAACGAATCTGGCATATGCAGCCCCCCCAGCCAGTAGCATTTCAGATCTCCCTGAATGAGGCACCAGTTGCACACCGCTGACAATCTTAAGCAGGCTTGTCATGCAGTACAAGCTTAGGTGGCGAGATGCTAGCCATTGTTGCAGCGTGCAACGCACTACACCTAAAAAACACTGGAAAAGGGAAGGGGTCTCGCCTGTGCTATCCACTCGGTGTATTGATCAATCCGGCGCATCAGGTGTGAAAGCCAAGAGCCCAAAGGCTTCAAACTCGGGGGTGCAAGTGCGCGCCACTGTGTGGGCAAAAAGCCTGCTTGCAGCGACAATGCCAAAGCGTCGAGGTCCCCAGACATGCCAATATCACCTCGAAGTGCTCGTGACAAATCGTGAAGCGACTGACACATCGTTTCGGTCAACGTATTTAATCGGTCGAGCTCCTGTACTCAATAGACAGCGAATACGAAGCTTTGCTGTTTCACCCGTATGGTGCTGTGTGTTGTTTTTACGTCTTGATTTAAATAGCGAGTGTTTTAAAATTGTAGTGTCTTGAAGCCCTGGTCAATCAAACAACACGGACGTGCCTGAGCCAAGACAACTTGTGTAGGGGTGAGTGCTTCGGCGCCTGAAGTCGCATAGAGGCCTTTCTCAGGTAATTTGTCCAGTATTTCCTTGATCGTTGCTCCCAGCGCTTCTTCTTTGAGACTTCCGACCGCTGAGTCACTGTTATTTCCAGAAGAGTTCGCAATGTTGATCTTCAAAAGTCCATGCCAAATGCTTTTTGCATTCTCTACGAAATAACCGATTTCTGCATTGGTGTGGAGGCCGAATACTTCAGGGGTGTTGCTTGCTGGCATGTTCTGCAGAGAAAGCTTTGCAAACATCTGTACTTTTGCAAAGCAGTGGACTTTAATAGCCGTATTTCAGACAGTTTAGTTTACAAGAGGTTGCACAACATTTGTACAATAAGGCGCATTGAGTGCACAAGCAACGGAATGCCGTAGCAAATACCTTTATGAATTCAATATGTCCTGCACTCGTGCTGTCTGCCGGTAGAGCGTAGCTGATGGGCACTTTGCAGAAGGAAAACTGCCGGTAGCTGTCGAAGACGAACTCCCCCAAATACTCTTCCAGGTACGTCGCTAGCACTCGCCTGTCATAGTCGTCAGTGACACGCCCGCCGTACATTGCCTCGCCAATCAAATACCGCAGTGTTTCCCAAGGAATATCTGATGCCTTCGGCGAAGGACCACCTGTGTACAGTTTCTCGGAAGGACTGTCCGCTTCTGGTCCGTCAGGAGCTTTAGAAGATTTACTCAAATACATTTTCACGAGACTGAGAGATATGGACAAGTCGGATTCATTAAAGTCGTAGGGCACATTCCATCCAATTTTCCCGTATTTACGTCTCTCCTGAGTAGCGCCACACATGTGTGCTTTTGGTTTGTGAATCACACCGTGCTGAGTCATAGGGCCAACGACAGGAACTTTGAAGTTCATGCACACCTGTACAACAGCGTGGAAGAAGCTCAACGTATACACCAAGGTGGGATACGCGGGGTGAGTACACTGCTCGAACGCGTCTTCGCGGAACAAGGAATATGATGTTTGCAAGTTAGCCCGCAGGCCGTCAGGGGGTTCTGTCACCACTTTAAGGGAAGCCTGAGGCATTTACAGATAATCATTCGGAAGACAGGCAGCGTTTAGTAACGCCATGGGCCAAGAGTGTACGGGATCAAGCCGGCTCCAGTAAGGTACCTGCAGGATGCTGAGAGGGAATTCTTGTGTTGGTTGCGTAGTTAGCCACAGCCGGAAGCCCTTGTGAGGTTTCTTCATATCTGCAAGGTAATCACTAGAATAAATTGCGCAGTTCTGGTGACCAGCCTTCGAAGCTAGCTAATGATGGCCAATATCGTGACGTTCCTCCTTGTTCTACCTTGTAACAATTTGGCGAGTGTCGAAAGCCATCCTGGGAGAAGATGGCAATTCTGCAGCATTATCCAAAATCCACGTTGATAGCCGACTTCAACAAGCTGTCCTGCTTGGTCTCCCATGCCTTGACCGATGGAGAGGTGGCGAAATTTGTTTCCTGAAAAGGGAAAAATACAGCTCCAACTTGAAGAATGGCTCGACAACACCCTAGCAGCTGTGAAATTGGGGATCAGAGCATCACATCTGGTGCACCTCGGTTTACCTGCAAGGCCAATTGACTCAGCAAGAGCAGATACGGCAGCGAAAGGGTTGGCCCCCGGAGACAATATCAGAAGTATTGGAGAAAGCTCAGAGGATTGAGCATATATTTTCGAGTATCTGCATGCACGTTCTTTCGTGACGAGAATGACAATTGGGAAACTATTTTGCTGCATGCGTTTCGGTGCACTGCAGAAGAAAACAAAAGGCGCTATTGCAGGGGATCTCGATCTCTCACTGAAGTGTTGGCGACTGTACGTAGTGCTCATTTAATCTCCACTGAATAAAATTTTTGATGGCGTTATGGACTCGGTCCACACGGAAAACACGGACAACTATTAACTTTTGAAAGGGGGTCAATACTCTGCTCCACTGCCCAGGCATCTCTGCTTTTTCAGCCGAATCATCTTCTGCCCACTCCTTCCAAGCCTGAAGGTCCCACGACACCAACGCCTACACAGATGTATCCCCCTTTGTACGTTATTGTCCAATGAGCACCTTTTAGTGCAACTCACAAACAATGGATAAGTAATGACAACAGCATTCGCGAGTGCTTAGTAAGATGCTGGCACAATCCAATCCTGTAGTGTTCACCTGAGGTTCAGCAAGGACGTTTTCCTGAAGCCCATGGAATGCTGGACTGACTGTACGTAACTTGAATAGATCATTCCATCCACTATCTGGTATCCAGCTGAGCTCTCCAGGTTTCGTTTCCCCTTCTGATATTGTGTTACTCCCCTTCAAGAAAAAGTCCAACTCTTCTTCAGGAAGCTTTCCGTCATGCCGCATGATCATTGTTGTCAGATGGAAAGCAAAAATGAGCCGCTGACTTTCAAAAAGACCTACAAACGAACAGACAACACAAAAGTCGTCTAACGCCCATAAAAGAGACTTTAATCTCTTCCGTCTGCATAATCCCGCTAAAAAGGTACTTGTATAGTGATGTAGGCTTCGCCATTCAGCAGCAACTGGCAAGCTCGATGCTGGTAAACAGGAAGATTACCAAGGCTTATATAATCATAAGACAGTTGCGTGACCTTATCTACAAGACTCTTTAATCGGTTCTCCAGTATTCTATCTTGGCGCGCTTCTCGTAATGCGACTCGGAAAGTGTGCAAGAATGCATCAAGTGAGTATTCCAACATGGGCGATAGGTTGCGCATTCCATCCATGCTGAAGTACACGACGCTTCCTCGCTTTGCAACACTATAAAACTCCTGCCGCTTCTGTGGCAAACAAATACCAACAATAAGGCAATTCCGTACTGTGCACGGGTGAAATGTTAGGCGATCCAGTGACTGAGTCGGAGGCTAATTTTGAAACAGGGGATTGGAATGGAAGGGTGTCACCTCTTCTATTTTCACCGAAGTTGACTTAGCCTCTTCAAGAAACTGTTCTATCTCAAGAGCTTTCGTTTTCGTATTTTGGAGGGTCTCAATCAGGTCCTCGTTGTCTAGGGGGCTTCCTTTTGAGTGTGCAAGCTCATGAAGTAGCGTATTCTCAAGATGCTGCACACGCTCGTAGGCGTTGGCAGGTGTATCTTCATGAGACTCATAAAGCAGTGTAAACCCACTTGCTGCGTCACGTACCTTCAGCATTAGACGGCCTTCGCTCATGCGTTGTACAAGCTCTTGACGCTGGCTTTCTAACTCGGGCACTTCGTTACCAACGACTATTGCTAGCATCTGCTCAGCGAGTCCACTCATTGTTACCTGGAGTACCACAGCGAGGCAATATTCGCATGATGTGTATAGCAGCCATAAATATCCGGTGCACTCAATGGAATTCTGAACCCCCTTCTGCCTGACTTACCTGGTAATTAATAACATTCGTCTTGTTCATGATTTCAGGACTAAACTTAGGATTTGACAATTTGGTTGTCATGTACAAGCAGAAGTTGTCATTCCAGTCAATTTGCTTCCCCACTGCACACAACGCCATTGTAGTCCAAGTTGAGGCTCTGGGTGGTTTCCACGCTTTCGACCTTAACGCAGTTTTACAGTTGACCCTACAGCCGAAGAATGCTCAAGACGTTCTTACGCAGTGTTACAACTTTTTGCCCATTCTGTATGGCTAGGTTCCGTTCTAAGACAGGATCGATTGATGGGTCAATTTCAGTTTCAACTGATTCAAAGAGAAACGGTTTCCCGTATTGAATTGCGAGCTCAAGGTACTTCATGTAATCATCAGCAAATGTCTTCGTCACCAAACTATGCTCTTCCTCGCGATGTTGTATCCACTTCACCGCCTGTTCACAAACTCACAAGACAATGCCTCTCGTCGGCGCCATTTGGAGGCGTCTTGGGTGCTACTCTTGCAACATACCTGCATTTGAGGGTCAATGCAAAGGGGCCAACGAGAAGACATTGTGGTAAGGATGCCGTTTTGAATGGACATTTCATTTGCTGGTAGCCCTTCTTTATTCCACTTTGCGATGTCTGCGTCATTCGTCAGCAGACCCTCAATCTTAAATGGATCATTTATTGGGACGCCAGATTCTTTGACATCCGACGCCCAGTGATCATAAACCTGCGCAAAACGAGACACACCGCCCATATGTAATGCGTGGACTTGCGTCACAAGCCACCTTGAGGCTTGACAAATCGTCCCTCATGATGCAGACAGACAGCAGGCTCCTGCCCTCTCGATTGCCGTAAACGTAGATTCCGAAGCCCTAAGACTGACCATACGATTCCTGAACTCCAGGGTATATGGTCCTGCGTATGAGAGGAATGCTGCACCGATTAGACAACTGCCGACAAGCCGGGTGCGTGTATCGCTGCACGCTTCATGATCTTCTGTCCAGCGGCGTCTTTCCGATTCAAGCCCCTCAATCAGCTTGCAGGCTGCTTCAAGCCTGCGTTCCATCACTTTTGCCTCAGCTTCCACCTCACGCAAAGTATCCGTCTGCTGCTTCTGTTCCGTCATTAAAGCAGCCAGCTGCTCCTCCAGAAGGCGGAGCTCCTCCTGCAGTGTGGGCAATGACGATGCAGGCATACGGCGTAGCATATGCAGACTTCGCAAAAGTTCTGTTCTGGTGGCATAAGAAGTATATCGCTACAGCACTCGTTTGGTCTTCTTTATGCAGCTTGAATTGGCCAAGCTGTACCCTTATTTTCGTCAAGTTGGCTTCTGCCTCATCCTGCTTCTGCTGTAGCTCTGCAACAAGTCGTCTTTTTGGCTCCACCCCTTTTGCAACCTCATGGTACTGTAGCATTGCCTTGACCCACGTCAGCAGCCCGTTCCCCGCCTTTGAAATCTTGGCCATCTTTTCGCTCGTAAATGAGTCCGGGTCCTTGTTAAAGTATTCCATCACCTTTTTCACTTGCCGGTCTGAAGAAAAGAACTGAATCAACTACTGATAGTATTCGACTAATTCGTGCTCGGTGTCCAAATACTTATGCCCAGGCGGGAAAGCCTTTCGACTGCTGGTTTCAAAATGTCCAATGGTGTATGCACGTACTTACCAGAAATGCTGTCTTTAGGATACTCAACGAGGCTTTTGAGGAAATTGACGTCATTCAGCATCGCCTTGGCTCCGTTCCACCCGTCGGCTTCATTTTCTTTCCCAAGGGGTCGTAGGACCACGACACACATGCACACATTCATGACGGGCTTCGGGGGAGTCATAAATGCCTTTATCTCTGTGATATCTTTCTTGTCGAGATTTTCAAGGGCTCTTGCTGCAGCTTCCAATGCTGGAATTGCTGCAGCTAACGCCTCATCTGCGCTGGCCTTTTCTTGGTTGATAGTAACTTGGTCCTGCGCAACGTTGCAATTTCCAATCTGCTGCGCTTCCGTTCTACATAAGAGGAAACAGTCCTACCACGGCAAATTTCAAAATCTCCAGTATCTTAGAGAAGTGTGCTTTGACTTGTGTTGAATCAAATTTACCTGAGATATTTGTCGCTCGGTGGCACGAGCCTCTTCCTTTCTTTGGCTGGCCTTGGAGCTTTTCTCATTGATACTAGAAATAAGCTCTTCTATGCTTCTCTTTTTCTCGTCCACCACCACCTTTTTAGCTGTGACTTGAGCATTCATTATCTTGACCGACTCCGCTGCCTTAGTCAGCGTAGCAGCAGTCAGAATTTCAAATACTGCGATACATACTAGCACTAACAATACATTTTGCATGTTTGTAGTATGTCTATTAGTGACGCAGACAAACTAGTCGGAGCCTACACTGTTCATCTTCTGTAGCCCTCCTTCTAGGCGAGTGCTCAGCTGATCTATGTTACAGCGTTTTGCCCTTAGCATTCCCTTGTACGTCTTGAGGAAGTCAAGATAGTTTTTAGGAGTAGAGTAAGTTGCACGGTCAAGTTTTGCCTCGAATTCTGGGGCATAGATGGTGGTTACACTGTCATGGATTCTAACGACGTGCTGCTCTATAACCGTTCGGTGTTCTTGCGGAAGGTCTTCATTTTGCAGGAGTACCGTTGCAACAGCAGCAAGTGCCGATACTGGCCAGGGTTGAAACCAGTCCACGCTGGTGCACGATACGAGACCTGGGAAGTTGCGACAACGAGTACGCAGTGAGTCTCCAGACGGCGACATGGCGAGAAGAATGTGCATGTTCCCTTTAGCTTTGTTCATTGCATAATTCCAAAGAGCGTCCTCTCGAGCGCCCTCTTCCTTGGCAGCGCCCCTTATTGCAGCAATAAGGGCATCCTTTTGGTCGTCAGCGAAAAGTGCTGGAACCATTCCAACTGTTAAGAGGTTATTTATGTATTCAAGGAAGCACTCAAGCTTGATATCAGCATCCGAAAACAGCAGGCACTGCCGCTCCTTGACTGCCAGAGTTACCAGCTGTCGAAGGTCCTCTTTGAGATCCGCCTCACCGTAGGATCGCATCGGTGAAAGCGAAAAATGATTGTACCTGGGGACAAGGAAAATGCCCGGAGAACGATTCGTTTGCATAATTGGAGGTCTATTGGTAGAATCGACTTGAGATAATATATTGAGTAAAGAGAAAATGATCAAGTGGAATTCACCCGGAAATGTAGATTGCTAGAGTGGCGACACTGCGCTTGCCAGAGCCACCCATTCCAACTAAGAGGCCATGACCCCTTTCCATTCGAATTATTCTGTGAACCCGCGCTAGGTGAGCGATGACATCCTCAAACATAACTAAGTGCATGGGCTTCCGATCAAAATTGTGAAGCTCCAAGAGGCGCTCGAGCAATGGCCGGATTTCTTCGAAAGACGCATGATCGTCGTATGATCTATTCTGATGCGCGAACATGATGAGTACAAAGGGGTAGCCGGTAAGATTTATGCCATGTTCATTCCTGTCTAAAGCCTAAAAGAAATGCTCTCCTGCCTTGTCGCTATTAAAGCTGGTCGATGACCCTACCGGAGAATCCGCCTTCTCTTCAGCCTCTAGGAGCTTGAGGGCGCTCGGGAACTCCGTCCATACAATAGGATCCCTCAAAGCGTGCTCTGCGCAGTCTGGAAATGTGTCTTCGATTATTTGCTTCAACTTTACATGCTCTAGGTAGTGCTTTTCCTCTTCATCTATTAGCCTGTCTTCAAAGACTCGGAGACTTTCGTGCCTGGAGCAAATGGCGCAAAGTAAGGCATTTGCATAAGTACTGCTGCAAATTACCGTCCATATCAGCACTACGTGGACTGCTTCTTCACTCCTACTTCCTCCTAGCTCTGTTCTTCTCACCTCCACAGGCGAAGGATTGATTTCCCATCTATAGAAGGCGGCAGGTTCGCGTGCCATATCCCTTGGTAAATACGCGAAAGATCGCGCATGTTGAAAATGTAGTGAAATTTCTTAGGTGTACGCATCATTTTCTCCACCACACTTTCATAGAGGGTCAGTGTGGCCGCCGGCAACTTTGTGAGCACAGGCTGCACAGCATCACTCCAATGCGCAGCGTTGTTTCGTTAGCACCCCTACTTCACACTCATAGGAGAGGCGATTACTGGCGGATTTCGGTCCGCTTGATGCGCGATGGAAATGTACCTTAAGTGCCGTGCAGTCGGGGCCGAATTTCAGGTCTAGAATGGTAGACAATATTCGCTTTACTGATTCTTGAGATGGGGACTGGATATTGAAGCAAAAGAACTGGGAAATAGCTCTTGGATCCACGGAATTACGGCCATTTCCGGGGGGGTTCATGGCCCCGAGGAAGTGGACATCTTTCAGGATAATTTTCTCAAGATCTTTGCCCCTCTCATAGAAGAACATCCTTTCCATCACGAACTTCAGCAGGGCTATAGGCTGCTGAGTGCCATAAATGTCAACCTATGAAGGCAACCATAAGTGCGTTTCGAGAACAAAATCAGCAGCTGGCCCTGAGGATCGCGGCCTGCTCTAAAAAGCCACAGACTAATGCGTGCTGTATTGAATGCTGGGACTTCTTGTAGTAACTAACCGTTGGCATATTGAGATCATCCAAAAACACCTTCAGTATTTTCCCAGAGGGGGGCCCGTACACACGCCCTATTCTCTTGTCAATGTTATCTTCCAATGCCTTTTGGAAATCAAGAGAGCTAGTCCTGCTACTGAAATTCATTTGGAGTTGCAGGTATTCCTCACTGTCTAGGGTGTTCAGCCAACCCTTGGTCATCATAGATTTAGCAGTCCCTAAACGTTAGTCAGAAGCACAACATCTTGAATTTGGTCAGTGACCTTAGCTCATTTCTTTATGCCATGAAGTATGCCTTGCAGTTTTCAAAGCTAATGCAAAATCATGCAACTGAAGGCTTTCCAGATCGGCACGATGGGCACCCTCAACTGACCTGATTCCCCAATAAAAAGCGTTGGAAGAGCCTTTGAAGCAAAACCTTGAAGAAGCCACATTGCCCGGACAGTGTCCGTAGTGGGAACGAAGATGCTTGTAAAAGAAATCCCCGCTTCTGGACAGTACTGTGGGACCTGACAACGCCCGTAACATTCAGCGTAAGACTAGACATATTGACTGTGCAGAAGAAGAACACGCTAGTATGCAGGCTTCTCGCTACAGTGAAAGTCTGGGAAAAGGTGAATTAATGGGCTGCCAGGAAGGTGTATCTTCCGCCGCTGACCTTAGACTCCCACGAAAGCCATGAGTTTGACTGTAGCTCGTAAAAGCTGTCAAACAAACTTTGGCTTATGGAAGCTTTTCCTGAGAGTGTCTTCAAAAGTGCATCGAGGCGTGGTTGTTCTTCCCCCGTAAGCGTTGCTCCAAGGGACCAGACTAAGGCAAAGATGAAAGCGTTTTCGAGCCTTTCTGGATTTGGCTCTGCATAAAGAGCCTCTGGAACCATGATGTCCATGACTTTGCAGAGCTGTGCAACCTGTTTGTTGTGCAGATAATACAAAAACTTGGTGGCCACAGTATAGGCTTGCTTTGCCTCGTTTTCTACCATTTGTGCACCGCCGCTGTCTCAAGCAGTACAAGCGAATCTTACCATGCTGACGTCCGTTCTATATATGCATTTGGCAGGCAGAGGAGCCTCATCCTCTCTTCCTTTATCGTGCAGGATGAATGCCAGGCACTGCGGGACATACTTTTCCCACAAGTAGTCCAGAATCTCTAGTAGCTGTTCATTCGATTTGCTTCTCGCCCAAGCATCGTAGTAGGGTGCACTGCCGAGGTCCCGCTGGTCCACGTACACCATTCCGCAACGCGAAACCGTTGCTGGAGAGGCATATTTGAGGTCCGAAACCTGAGAGAATATAGTGCAGCGTCGACTGGTACACGGGTGCAAGTGCGGCAACGGTAACATATCAAATTGCTGTGGTCAGCGGCTTCGAGAACTGAGCAGAGCAATATTTGCTCCGTACGTCACGTTGATTAGAATCTTCACCTCACCTCAAAAAGCAGTGCGCAGTGCTTCTCCAGCCGAATGCGCTCTCCATTGGACAATGTTAGAAGTTTGTTGTCATCCATAACGGAGTTCATACTCTCTACCCAGACTGCGTCCACATCTCCATCAAACAAAATAAAGCGCTTCTCCTTTCGCCCAGGTGGTAAAGGCTGGTTCGCATCCCGAAATATCTTTGAGAGAAGGCCATCCGTCCAGTCTCGTGAGACAGGGTCTGCAGCCAGGATCGCATGAAGTCCATACTTACAGTATTTCGAGGGCGACGATTGGCGAGAAACCACAGCAATATAATTTACTGCGCGATTTGAAGCTGGATCGTGCGTGCATATAGTTCAAAGAAAAAGTGAGTAAACGGATGCCAATCACTTAAAAGAGTTCCGCCGAACTCGGAAGCATGAGTCTGCATGCACTGTGGCAGTTTCATTGAGCCTTACCCAGCACTCCGTACAATTCGTCTGTCCCTTGAGCTTTTGGATTCATAGGAAGCACCTTCACGACTTCATCGAATGCCACTTTGTGGGCAGCTGCGAGAGTTTCAATTATAACTGTTTTTCCACCTCCTGTTGTTCCTACAACCATTGTAGAGTGCCTTGTTTCCATTGTCTCGTACAGTTGTACGACCTTGTCGACCTGATTGTCGAACTCCCGCTTAGATCGGCACTTGAACCCTTTGTTCTCTAATTCCTGTTGACCAGGAAACAGCCCAGAAAACCAAAACGACGGTGCTTCCATTATCACAGCATTGGAGGGGTCAGCTCTGAAGACCTCTTCCGATAAGAGCAGAGTTCACCCAACTCCTCCACTTGAGACAAGGCGTCCACTGTGGCCCACCTGCTCGATTGCTTCCTTCAGCTTAGGAAGCGCCATTCGCTCGCACGTCACATTGGGGAATAAATCGCTTAAGAGCCCTAGGAACAATGGCACATCCGGTTTAACTAGTTTGGGAATATTCATGTCGCGTAGGGCCCTCATTAAGAGCAAATCATCTGGAGTGTCCGGCGCTGTGCGCTTCATAGACCCCGCAATAACAAGAACGGCCTTCAGTGCCCTTAGTTGGAAGTCGTAGAAATACTGAACGCAAGTGCTCACATACACAGGCAGCACTTGGCGACCCAAACAAATTCCTCTAGTCAGCGATGCCCTTCATGGTGACGCCTATGAAAATCACCTGCTTCGATAACTGAGCCGCCGCTAACTTGTACAGAACCGTCATCTTCCTAGCGAGTATTCGAGCCTCCTGAAAGCCCTCTGATATTAGCATTATTTCGCATATCATGGCCATATCAGGTACGGTCATAGTTGCGGGGCGGAACAACGCCTTAAGGTTGTCGGGGAGCTCAGATCTGCATTAAAAGCAAACGGGGACTCTTGCATTGAGCTCTGGAGACACCACTAGTCCTACATATTTTAAAAACTTTTTAGTCAACGTTTGTTAGCGAGTCTGCTACAGCTCAAAGGGCTCACCTTCCAGCATAACCGGGATTCATTGTTACGAAAATTCCCACTGTGGGTATAAACTTCAGGCTCTTGCCGAGCAGTTCGACAGAACCTTTGCCGTTTTGTAGACTCGTCTGTATTGCCTTGATTTGAGCGGATACTACAGAAAGCACCTCTGGGTTGATGCGGTTAAATTCATCGAAGCAACCCCAGAAGCCTAGGTGCAGTCAACACAGCAGTAACGGAAAGCTGAGGCAGTAAATTTCATTCGTTGGACTCCATGGAGGAGGTTGATGCATTGGCAGGAAGTTGCAGCCTACGCACGGCCCCGTCGTACCGTACCAGTTTGCACAAGTCCCGAAAAAATTGTCCCCATTGCCTTGTAGTCTAGCCCTTCACCACAATTCTGGACGACGCAGCGAATGGCTAACGACTTGGCCAAGTCCTTTACTGTTTCGGTTTTACCTGTCCCAGCCGGACCAGCCGGGGCGCCTCCTAAACAGAATGTGAGGGCCGTTGTAAGAGTCATAATACACCTATCCGTCAGAGGAGTGATGACCAGGTGGCCATTGAGACCTTGGTACTCGTATCCATATCTGGAGCACACGGAAGCTTGGCAGCATGTAGGTGAGCTTCTTCAGTCAGTGAAGCATCCAGCTCCCCTTAAGCGTCATCGCAGTTAGTCATTCGCTAACCTGAACTGCCCAGTGCATTGCCGTATTTCAATGTCGTCTATTGATTTGTCCCAGTAGAAGCGCAATTGGCTCTCCCATTCAAAGCTGTTGGCGCTGAACACCGCATTCTGGACGAATCTCTCAACAAGGTCTCGTGCATGCACGTCCAAGATAATCAGCGTATTCACCTTTTTCCTAGCTCGGTATTCTAGTGGCTTCCGCACCACTTCGATCAAAGTGCTGACCTATGCACACGTTGCCCATGAGGATGCTTAAAAGATTCTACGATACTTGGTGTGACTCATAGTGGCAAATGGAATGCTTACGTCACCCAGTGCTTGAGGAATGACAGTTGGGTAGAGGTTGTTCGAGCGATTTTAGACACAGTGCCTCGTTACCTGCTGACGCTGAGTGGCCACCTCATCACGAAGTGCATTTTTGTCCCCCTGTTCGATCCTCTCAAAGGCATCCTCAACTCGCCAAGTCCACCAAATACGAGATCCCACACATGCCACCATTCCCAGCTGTTGGGTAATCCACTGTGTTCTGCAAGTACGAACTCTAGCAGACGAAGGCAGTGTGCACTGCGACACCTCCGCAGCCAACGTTGGGTGCATCAAAATGGCCTGAACAAGCTGAGCTCACCTTGGCTCGCAACCGTACATGAAAACTCCTTCCCTAGTTATTTTGTGAAGGGACGTTTTCATGGCCTCGTCAACTGTTGTCATCCACTCCTCAGCGGGTCCTTCAGTCACTACAGGCTCGTAAAAACGGTACGCTTCGCCTTCTTCGGACTCCATTCCGGCTACCTGAAAGGGAGCATTTTCCATTTACCGTGAAGCATAGGAAAGTCCTGCACAACAGACGAATGACTACTCTTTCTTGCAGAGGCAAGGTAAGTGTTTTGCGGTACCTGTCCCGAACCATCTATTTGAAGCCTTTTACAATTATCAAACAGCTTAAGCATCAAAGGCTGCACTGCTTCATGACCACTTGAGCCAAGTACTGATAGCAGTTCATCATCAGATATGAAGTAGAACCTGAGAATCAAAAGCAGGGAAGCTCCTGTGCATCATTTCGGAAGAGCTTCAAAAGTGTCGATTAACATGTGAATTCTCGTTCCCCCATTACCTGGGGTACATAATTCTCTTGGCATCCAGATAGTCGGAGAGGGAACGTTGGCAGCTGTCGAGCTCTGCCGCAAGGCTTTTCATTTCTCCAAGCCGGTTCTCTAGGCAAAACGCAGACAATACATTTGGGTTTTCGTTTGTCTGCTTCATAATCGATAGAAACCGCCGATTTATCACATCGAATTTCTTTGCTTCCTCGGGTAATTGCAGGCGGATGTCGATAGACTCGGTGAATATTCCGTCAAGGTACATCCATCTTCTTTGTACCTGTACATGGCAACGGCAAGCTCGACATTTAACGGTCTCGTTAATTGTTTTGTAGACAGCATGGTCATCTGTGAGCGTCGTTTCCGTATCATCGTTGAGTTGTGCATATGTTTCCTTTAGTCAATCGAAGCGAACGGTCTGTGCTTGGGCCAAGCGAATGCAGTACTTGCAGCCACGCGTCGAGGACTTCACGAATGATGTTGAGGGACTTCTCCCACTTCCGTATCTTGTCCAGTACAGTTGAGGCGAACCTGGACCCCAACATGGACTGGAGCTGAAGGAGGTTGTCATCCAACAACATTCTCAGTTCATCATTCGACTTCAGCACATAGCGCGTCCCGTCATTTTTGTACTTGGCAGTCTCAATGGTTTGCTGTCGCCAGCAAGACTCAATTTTGGCAATGTCTTTCTCAAGCTTCATTTCCTCCTGATCACCAAGACTGATATAAAGAAAACACCTTATCAGGCATTCAGCACTGCTTCACAAACTACTCTTGTAAGGCTCCTGCCACTGAGTACAGCCCTTGATCGGGCTGCCTTGGAGTGCTCGTAAACCAACAGAACGCTGTGAAATCCATACCGTAGCCGCCTGGATGATTTCATTAACAGCATCAGGTACCCGACCCAACTGTAGATCCAAGACATCCTGCAACCGGAAGTTTTTGTTTTCGGCGTCAAAGGTCTGCCCAGCCGCTGCCATCAGCTCTTTCCAGTGCTGTGGCCGAATGGCCTCATTCTTCAGTCTCTCGATTAGGGGAAGCTCGCTTCGGAAACCGTTAATAAGTTGAGTAACTTGAATGAAAGCCTGTGAACCAAATACGTTTCTGTGGATTGCCTACTGGAAAAGATAATAGAAAACAGTTCTTTCAGAGTACCGAGCTCCCAGCCCACAACCCCGAGACACTTTCGGCCTACATTCTGTCTTTGACTTACTGGGGAACTAGTAACCTGGGGGCCACCATTCTTTTCTAGGTTTTTAAGTCTTTTCCTAAACTCTTCAGCTGCCTTTTGGAGCTCCTGAGTTTATATGTAGTTTTTGCGCAGGAAAGACACTGAGAAAAGCATGATGACTCCAGCCATATATTGCCTGTGAAGGCTCCTAGCATTATATACATCGCTGGTTCGCCGAAGCAAATTCACGTTCGAAATAGCACTTTAGGGAACATGTAGTAGCACTCACCTGGAAGTCCACCTTCGCCCAAAGTTGCGATGCCCACTCATTGACCATTGTATCGTGGTCAGCGAATAAAGCAAATATCTGCCCTTGCTGTTTGACTTCTCCATCAAGCTTGTCCAAGATAGTGAACGCAGTTACTGGAAGTGAAAACAAGTTCTCCGCATTGTTGAGCTCTGCTGCCTTTGTTTTGAACTCGGCAATTTCTTCCTCCAAGGCTATCATTGCTTGCCGTCCCTCTGTAAGTGGAGTGTCAACGGAGGACGATAAATCTTGGAACTTTTGTTGAAGCGCCTTGCACTCGACCATGAAGTCTGCGACCTAGTAACGCATAGTCATACGTAACAGCGTGCACGAAGAGGCTGTCGTCACAATCCTGCCAGCTGCGAAAGTTTTGCATATGCTACCGTTGCATTATCTTACTTCTTGCTTTTTTTCACCGGCGAATTTGGTCTTTATAGACGCCAGCTGTCTTGTTTTACGATGAGCCAGGTTCCGCAGTTCCTTCCATTCACTTGGTAGAGCTGCTAAATCATTCATCTCTGCTTGGCTAATAGGATAATTATAACTTCGGAGAGTACTGTACATTTCACACATCTCTGTCAGCCTTATTTCTGCATCCATGGCACTGTCGTTTATGGTCGTCACTGATTCCATAAGCAGCTTAAATTTGTCCAATGTATCGGTCTCCACTTCAAGCCTTTTCCTGTAGATTAAGAGAGTATTGAAGAGGTGTTTTGTAGTCATACCCGAGAGCGACTGGTAGCTCAGCTCGCAAGCTTGGAAGTACTGGCCTTACCGCCTTTCATTGATCAGTTTTTTCAACTCCATCCTCTCCCTCTTCGCAATTTCATGAAGCGTATCCGCATATGCTCTGCTTAACACCAGGGCCTGCTGTTGTATTCCATCAATGACTGTCGAAGAGTCGAGTTGGATAAAGGCGACAGTCTTTACTTTAGGAATCGCGCCTAGCTCTGCAGCAAGCTGCAGCGAACGGTAGACAAGAATTGATAGAAAATGGGTGTCTGCCTCCTTCGGTGTAAGATTTGCACAGTGCATAAACACCTAAACGTTGTAGCGTTGTAGCCATGCATTCACCTTGTCGTAGGCCCGAACGTAAACGTCGAAGTACACCAAGTTTGGTCTCTTGATGATAAGCTGTTCCAGTTGTGATTTACGATCTGGGTTCCACAAGGCCCACTCATCTTCATACTTACTCCAGTTTTTCACGTACTTTGTGATGTGCTGCAGCAACAGAAAAGTTAGATACGTAGCTGGGCACACTTAGTTTATAATAACACAACATACGCAGGGCATGGAGTGGCTCCAGTGTCAACCGTTACCTGGAATGCCCTTTGTATGGCTTGATGCGTCGCAACTGTGCTACTGATGAGCGCCGGTATGCGGGCAACCTCATTGTAAAATGTGAACTGGATCGCTGCTGTCTCGTCACCCCCTGGGATCTGCTGGATGGGAACGCATCTGCAGCACATAACACTCCAAAGCTACTCTATTGTCTCTGACCAGAGGCGCTGACAGTAGTCGTATCCAGTACAGTTTCAAGACGGTCTCGGGTACTCACTTGCAGGTTCCATGCATCCACCTCGAGAAGTTCATTGACGAAGCAATAATATTTTGCATGAGTCTGGATATGGTTTTAAAAATGGAATGAGTACTTCCGTGGATAACAACTTCCTTCTCATTTAGCTCAGTGGATACTCTAAGTACTGGAGGCCAACGACACACTGAAGATGATAGAGTGAAGAAGGCTCGAAAACGACTTGTGGCTGCGAAGAGGAACAAGGAGCTTCGCAAAAATGAATGCCCAGTACCAATAATAGAATGTTGGGGCACAGGTGTACTACAGCGCGTCGTAATGATGGTACGGGGAACCGCAGATTTGCCCATTCACGAGCACAGTGCACATTCATACAATACCTTTAATAAGCATAGTGGCTATAGCATTGAATATTCGGCGCTCCCAATAATGATAGTAAGCAGCCATCGCTTCGCTGGATCCAGTCATCCTGCCCTCAAGAAGCTCTTCTATCTTTTTCAGGTAAGATGTGACTGCCTCGTATCTGGCTTGAAGCCCTTCGACTACGCGAGCCCTGTGCTCCTCTATGTATTCATAGAAGTCCTGTCATACGACAGCTTGCGCAAGGACTAGTTGTTGTGCACCAATAAGGAACTTTGAATAGTCTACATGCAAACCGTGACAACCCAAAACCCCACCTGGATGGCAAAAGGCTCAAACGAGTCCCAGTTCAGGTCTCTAACCAATTGTGAGTCCTCAATCTCCTTCACAATTTGTTCAATGATTTCCACGTTCTTAAAAACTTGTTCGCACGTAGCTTTAAATATTGTCAAAGATTTAAGGCACGAGCTCACAAAATCCTCTAGCCCCAAGCTTGTCCAATTTAAGGTTGTCAAGCCAGGGAGAACAGCCCTGAAGAATGAGCACGACGTTCAGAGAATCGTTTGCCAACGCACAGCCAGTGCACATATGGGTTCCCTGTACTGCTTATTCTGTCTCTATTCAAAAGAGACAGCGTTCAACAGGGTCCTATGCGGGCGTCGGCGAGAGCTTGCCTATGAAGCTCAGCAATTTGCCGTGACAATAAGCTCTTGTGGGCTGGGATGATGCTGGAAAGTGTAGAATTCAACTTGTCAACAAGCCCTTCAAGCAGAACTTGATGTTGGCAAAACCGTTCCTGAGAAGCCCATATGCCAGCGAAACTCCAACCAGTGCCACACACCATGATTATGGCTTGTGCCGATTTCCTAAGTACCTCAGAAACGAATTCATGATTCTCACCTTGTGCAGAGCGACATTTACAACAGCCGCAGGGGCTTCACGCACACCAAGCTGATCCAGGTAACGGGCTTCTTGCATTACAACCCAAACGTCTGGACGGAAGTTCACGGCATATGACCCGTTGGCTTGACGCCGGAGGACGTAAGATTTTAAGCATTCACTTGCGGTACTGACTGCAGCAGCCTGTTCAGCATTTTTCACACTAGATGCGGCAAAAAGTGGCAAGCACTTGTGGTTTCATCCCTTGCCAGCATCACTATACTCGAAGTAGAGCCAATGACAGAGTGGCAGCAGTTGCTGAAACAGCACCAGATGAGTAGAGGCTCACCTGCCATTGCTTCACCAGGGAATTTTGGTAAGCTGTGATTGATTTTGCAAAGGACAGGTAATTGCCAAAGACATCCTCTGCCTGCTCGAAGTCGAAGACTTCTGGCATCTGCTTGAAGGCCAAGACACTTGCTTTGAGGGCTTGTAAGAGCCCACTTGACCACAAAATTGCTCCGGCAACAGGTGGCATGTGGCTAGGTAAGCACGGGTTCTCCCGGCCTTCTTCGAATAAGTCACGCATCCGGTCCACCTCAGTGTCTGGCAGACAGAACGTTACACATTCCCTTATGTCGGATTGGATCCAACAGCAGCACTACACGAAATGGAACAGCTAGCCACAGTAGTAGTATTCGAGACACAAAACATACTGAAATGCTTCAGAATATCTACAAATTTCTCTCCAAGTTTCTCGTTTATCCTAGGCCTGCTAGCAGTGGTTGTGAAATCCTTCAGCATTTCAAACGCGCTTAGAGCAGAACGGAGCCTCGTGAACTTTGTGTCGAGGAACGTTATGCACGCGTCTTCAAGCTCTATTGTCCGTCGCCAGAATTGTTTCACGGTCGTGGAGACCTCCTCGGAGTCCTTTTCACAGAATACCCTGTCCGAGACGGAGTCGAATGATCCAATGAGAACCTAGGAATTCGCCATTCGACAAGAAATCAGCATTGCAAACTCGTTGTTTCAGGCTAACACTTCGTTGGATATTGACGACCACGGGATATATTGAGACCTGGTTTTTGCATCCATTAGAGGCTGCAGTGTAGAAAACGTGTATGCTCTGGCTTCGCAAGTTAGCCAACCTGCATTTTTTCAGTCAGTCTGTTTACTGCTCGGCGAGAACGGGTGACAGAATGCAACTTTGGACCAATAAAACGCCTAAACTGCCCTATAGTCTTGACTATCTCCTCGAATTTCGAGCATATCGAAGCCATGTAATCTGTCGTCCGAAAAAGTTTTCTCCTGTCAAATTCCCATCTGAGGGCAAACAACACGATAGATGCAGCTGGAGGGAAAGAATTTTGATCGGAGCGCAACGAGTTTACACTTTCGTGTCCATAATGCCCCGCACTACAAAGAGAAGCCAAAATGTATTATCCGTTACCCAGCAGAAACGGACCTTCTGTTGCATTCCGACTCTTCAAGACGGGACCTCATATTGAAGTACTGTGCTTTCCATGTTTCGAGTAGGGCACGCGATTGCTGCAATATCATGCTTGCCTCTCCCACGTCCTTCCGTAGGAGCTGTTCGACGCAAACGTCTTGACGTATGCGCATCTCCAGCTGGCGGCAAGGCCAAAGACAGACCAAAACCCTTACGTGTTTCTCCCCCTAGGCTTTAGCAATCTTCAGTTGACTTCATTGGTAGTGAATCCAGTGCCCTTCTAACTAACCTGGTAGGCAATCCTCTCCATCAGGTTTTGCATGCGTTCGTCAGTGGTGAAGTGTCTAGATGTTACCCATACCATCCGCAAAGCGTTCATTAGCGAGGCAATCGTGTCCGCCATGGGGCCAAGCGGGCTCGTCTCTAGAGTACTGAAATACCTGAAGACCCAGCAAAGACGACTAATCGCCCCCAAGCAGGTGATTTCCCTCGCCTTGAGTTGAAGACTTGCGTTACTCCCGCAGTTTGTCTTTAAACGATGGCGACCCAAGAAACCAAGAGCGAATTGTGTCGGCAGAACTCGTGTGGCCCGACCTCTCGAGAGTTGACAGGAAACGAACATTGCTCATGGACTCTGTATGCAGCTGCTGCAGTTCATTCAAAGCCTTCTTAAATGATGGTACGACGGTTGAATCTGGTTGTTTTTCTTCACACCACTGTATTGCCTGTTGGCACAGCGGCGCGTTAAGCTGTTCGTACAGCAAGGAGACTGCAGTATGTCTAAAGACATCCGCAGCAAAGCACACGGGACTGCCGCGCTCTCAGAGTACCATACGGGAAATAAACATAACATAAATGGAAAGCACCCAGAGAAACATGTTTACTATTCAGTCCCTCAGGAGAGCATTGCAATTCATCCCTTATTTACCGGTCCCTCCAAAAATTGACCTCTGACACCGGCAAAAAGCAGTCGGGCTTGCGCTGGTTCTCAGCCTCCAATAGTTCCACTATAAGCTGCGGCAAGCCAGCAAACCAATGTATGACTTTAACGTTTGAAATGTTGCTGTGGCAGCTGCAAGGTACAGCTCGCCATCTGACCCAGGGAGTTTCACTGGTGGGAGAATTGGGGCAGTACCAGCTCACGTTCCTCCACTGTGCTATTGTTGCGACTACATTGTCTTGTTCAGTTCGACTGTCGTCGCCCGAACCGAAAGATGTGCCAAAAACAGGCATTGGAAGTGGAACTGCCATTTTATTCGACGCAGCCTTAAGATGCACTAGTAGCTCCTGAGTTGCACTAAGCGCTTCACTCTTGCATTCTGAGTCCAAGCCAGAGTCGTTTTCTTCCGAGGTACTATCGTCCGGAGCCTCCTCGGCTGCAGCGTCATCTTCTGGGGACCCTGGACTGCCCACATTGGCAGTGCCTGCTGTTCTTTCTGTTACCGATGTTGACGGGCGTCTGCTTGGTGTTGATGATGCTGCAGATCCGTCTGAGTCACCATCCTCGCTGTCAGCCAGCTGTAGCAAGATGTTTCAGTTGCAAGGGGACAACAGTTGGAGCAAACCGAATTTCAGTCAACAATTTTGGCCTCCGTTGGCTGATTTAAAGTGTTCGGTGCACCTATAGGGTCACCGACATACCGATTCGGTTTCTGGTTGGTGTGAATCTGTAGAAGACGAAGAACCAAGTTTGCCTTTGACGCTCAGATATTCTGGTGAAGCAGGCTTCCCAGCGATAGCCGTTGCTGCGGTTGGCCGTTCAGCGTTATCGCTGTTTATGGGTTGAGGCCGATACGACAGGAGTGGCACCAAGAAGCCCTCTAAAATATGGCAGAGGTCCTCTAAAATGGAAGTGCCAACAAGACCAACTAACATACACCGATTCATCTCTTCGACGCCCTATAACACAGCAAGGGATGTCGTTCAAAGGAGCCAGGTGGATTTCAAACTCGCCTCTTCTAGGCTAACAAACAGCCGACACAAGGGGGTACAAGCAGTTGCGCAGGCACACCAGTGGCCTTTGGCGCAGGTTTAGGCACTATAATGACTAATAGTTACCTTTCCAGTCAAATCGATAGGGCCAGAGCAGAGCCTCAGTGCGTATACGTGGGCACTTGGGCCCTTTGATGACTTGACTGGGCATGTATGCATCTCGAGGAGCTCTTCCTGCTAGAACCACAAGCCACCTCGCACGGTGCTGGGCACAACCATCGAAGGAGGTTGCCAGATATAAGTTGGTATCCTCTTCCCCAGAAGGCAACGATGTGCAACGCGTACATAGATCCTCATTACCGACGCCAGATTCTGCGTCTAGACAGATTTGGTTAGGGGTAAGGGGGAGTGTTTGCATAGCAGGTAACCAAATAAGCTACATTCGATCTGCCTGTTTGTCTGTCAATTGACGGAGGAGACTAGGTTACTGGATGTTTTTCTTACTTGAGAGTCACAGGACTTTGTGAGAGCGAAAAATAGTGCTGTCCCTGTGTTCCCAGCTTCTAAGAACTGCTCCAATTGCTTGTCAGCCTTCTGACCATCCTGCACTCCAGTACCACCAGCAGTATGCCTAAAAATACCCTTTTACGCTGCACATGGATGTGGCAGTTTACAGTGACAGTTAATCTAGAGTTCTTCCCACTCCAGCCGGCTTGAAAATTGCAGTCGCTATTGGCAGGCGTCGTCCAGTTGGGAATTGTAAATGACGGAATACTCGATATACTCGGGTGATGGGCAAACAAAACATGTCCATCAACCTAGAACATTGTACGGAATTGTACACCCCAATGCAGGTGAACAAGTGGCCACTCTACGGAGAAGGTGCATGGGAAGTGGTCCCACCCCCACCGTGCTTTTAAGGCGTGCGATCCATCCTAGAAGCTCTGGGCCAAATACGACTAAAATCTCACTCTGGCTATGAGGTTATTCCAGGCACTGGAGTCCTGTAGGTTTAAGATTGCCATGACCTTCTTTTTGACCCACGATTTCCTCGCGTCGAATGCCATCTTTCCTCGTCCCTCTTTGCCAACGGAAACTGCACACTACATATAGACGTTTGACTTCCATAAACCCAAACAGCACAGTTAATATCCACGCTGTGCCTATGTTGGGTAGACGACGCTTCCTCACGAAACAGACGAATTGAGGATGCACGGTAGACAGAGAGTTAAGATGTTTGGCGTGCACAGCAAGGGGGGCTGCTCTTGTCAGCCCACGACGTCTCCACAGATGCAGCTGACTGTTAGAAAAACCTCTTGAAAAGGCTTCAGTGCTGCCTTCTGATGGGATGGAAAAATTGGGGCCACGGACTTGGTCGTGGCACACCTCACAGAATGACGCCCCTGCGTTGGCCAGTAGCGCCACACTCTACAAAAATGACGATACTGCACTTGGTAGGCATAAGTGTTTGCTAAAATATGTTTTGCTTATGAGGCCTAGTTTAACTCCGCAGTTCATCGCACCAGCTGGGCGTTGCATCTGGCGGACTTAGTCACCGTACCCACAAAACTTTCGACGGACAGCAGTGCAGCCAACATGAATTGCCTTCGAAGTTATAAAGTAGCTATTTCCCCCCAAAGTCTCAACAGTTCAATTGAATCTGGCCTTCTGGTGCGCAGATGTACCTGGCGGTCTGGCAAGACAACAGTACACCGGAACCAACGGGGTTGCCACCGATTATGTCGCAAGCTGAAGTGTTTCAGTTTTGTTTGAGGTAAACAAGAGCTATTAATTACACTTAATTCTTGTCGTAGCACAAAGCCAAGCCCTCAGTAGCTCGGCACATGCTCTAGGCGCATGCATCATGATTGTGCCCGGTGGTAACGGGAGAGCGGTACCCAGACAAGCTACCTTGTGCAGGGGTGTATATAACTCGCATGGTGGGAAGCTGGGTTTCTCCCTAATAATTGATAAACAAACAAAACAGGTAGAATCTGGGTAACTCTGCTACTAGAGCTGCATATGCACAACGAGGCGGCAGCCTGATGATAGACCAGACCGTGTTCCGCAGCACGGAGATTCTAAGAGGACTCAACAGCTCGAGTTCTTGAGTTCTTCCCGAGGTAGGTGTATTTCTGTTGCTTTATTTTTGCACCCTGGATATCAAAACGAAGGTTGGTAGCAAGACTGCCAGTCCTGTATGGCGGGAACGCGGGAGCATGATGTCTGTTTTGTTATGCACTACACCGCAAGAGCTACAGCAGTTCGTCTACAGCAGCCAAAGATACGATGCAGCCGATTGAAGAGGCACTCGGTCACTCTAAAGGCCAGACCGCATTGCCTGCTTCCCCTCCCCCAGCGGGCGGCGAATGCAGCAGCATGTGGAGAGGCTTCGATAGCAGAGAAGTATTGACTCTGATCTTGCAGACACTTGACGAAATGGGTTACAGGTGGGCAGGAGAGTAGCAAGCCATCAAAAACACCTTGCGCAAATTCCGAAGCCCCTTCGTTGCCCCTGCGACTGCAGTATCCGCCAGCTCACAGCCTGCATCTCCTATTTTCCCTCCTTTTGTCTCGCTCCCTTGTCAGAGATATTGTCGCTTCACTTGAGAAGGCAAGCGGAGTTGAGCTACTTCAGCCTGACATGCGCAAACTGCGAGAGAGCATTGTGGAGGGGAATTGGCTAGAGGCTGGGAAGGCTCTGCTGCGCTTGCCCATCGAACCGCTTACTCGGCAGGCTTGCTGGTTTTTGCTTATGCAACACAAATTCCTGGAGACGATTGTAGACCCCAGTTTCTCTTTGGAGGCAAAGACCACGTGCTTAAGACGTAAGGAGAATGCCACTGTGATCCTTACCCACCCCGGCGTGGAGTAGCGATTATGTCTGGTTTCGGTGTAAGCTGTATGAAGTGAACTTTGCCTGCGCACTTGGTATCTTCAGAGGATCTGAGTATTGCGGCCTTCGATACTGCAACGACGGAAAGGGTTCACGAATGTGCGGCGCTGTTGATGTATGAAGGCAGCGACCTCTTGGCCCATGTGCTGCGGATATCTAGTTTGAGCAGGAGCCAGCTGTTCAGCCGTATTACTTGTCTCCTGCCGGCCTCTTTAGCTATGCAGCCTTCCATGCTTGCAACAATTATGGACCATGCTCGTCGGTTTCAAATTCTCTCTTGCCCACTGCATGTTGAGTCTCCGGCCACAGTCGGGGAAAGCGTCATTGAACCACACCGCTGCAAAGTTCCTCTTCTTCCGCAATGCTGTGTCGGCTGTCTGCATGCACATCGAAAAGAAGTGTGGACGGTGGCAGTTGCCCCCAAGCAGTCTAGTAAGATGGAAGCTTTAGTGGCTTCAGGTTCGGCGGACAGGTCGGTTTGTGTGTGGCTGATAACAACAGACACCTCAGGGTGGAGCAAAAATTTCACGGACGAATTAAGCGCAGCAGAACAGTTGTCTGCTAGTCAGTTGGGCTCTCGATGGCTTACTACATGGTTGGAGGGGGACACTGACTTACTAATGAGACTCGAGCAGACCCAGGCCCGACCGATGCTGGAGAATGGAAATGTCATTGGCACCTGCAGGCTCCTGTGGCGGATACAGCGCCTCGGAAGTGCTGCAGCTTTCCTCGATTGGGACAGCACTGGAAAGCTGCTTGCAGCTGGTGGGGAGAAATCATTCATTGAAGCTTGGGAAGAGGGCCGCAGGATAGGCGACTACTGCACCCACAGCGGCTCACTTGTTGGGCTGCAATGGGTGCCCAATTCGAGAAAATTGATTTCCATGGCAACTGACCGTACCATGACTCTTGTCTCTCTTCAAGAGTCAACTCTCAATGCGACGCACATCGTGGAATATGAATGGCTTTTGCCCGGCAGGCCTCAAGAGGGATTCCTACTGCCTGGATCGACTAGCATGATTATCTTCTTCGCCGATCGCCAAGTCAAATTATTCGACGTAGTAACGAAAGAAGAGAGCTCGTGGTAACATAGGTGCCCCGTATGCGTTTAGCTCGGGCGGGCGTTTGACTTCTCTGTGTAGGGTAGTGCTGCGGTGCTTGAAAAGAAGCAGGCAAATCCACTTACTTGCGTGTATGGTAGAGGGTTCTGGGTTTACTGTTTGGTTGTCTGCAGGGCGAATGGCAAAGATCTCGTCATTGCAGCATGCCCATCGAAAATCTGCAACCAGATATTACTGAGCACTGCAAATTCTCCTCCTGTGAGTCCCCAATGCATCTCTTGGTTGCGGAAGTAGCCAGTTCTGCAGCTTCTCTATAGTAGGATATCGCAAGAATGAATGCTGGCTCGGATCCCTGAGTTCCGGGCAGACCTCCGTGTGCAAGGAGAAGATTGGGATGATTGAGATGATCCTGTTTGCCACTTTGGTATAGTTCGTAGAGCCTTGCCGAATAATAGGTTTCCAGGACACTGCTACTTCGTGCAATGATTGAACCAAATCGGAGAATGATTAGGTGAATGGGAACAGGCGAAAGAATAGATAAATAAATCATATGTCAAATATCGCCGCATTATGCTGCGATGGTGTGTAGCCCCTGATGTCAGGATATCCCGTTCCCTTCTTGTTTTGTAGGTGCTCCGGCTTTGGGACCTCGACGAAGGCAAGGTCGTACAGAAGTACAGAGGCCATAAAGTGGGGAGGTTGGCAATTCGTCCAGCCTTTGGAGGCCCCCATGAGGAACTTGTCATATCTGGCTCAGAGGGTATTGTACCGATTGCTCAGAAGCCCCCACCTAACAAACATTAACACTGGCAGGTTGTATTGTTTGAAGGTCGAGTTCGTCCACTGAGCAGATGCCGTTGCTCCGGCGTGAAGCAGTTTTGATGCAGCACAGGGTTCAAAGGCGAATGCATGGTGTGTGTGTGCGTTGGTTGCCTTCAGACGCGCAAATATACATCTGGCATCGTGTATGGGGCTGCATGCTGCAGCAACTCAAGGGGCACGCAGCAGCGGTCAACCAAGTTGCCTGGATGAACTCATGCGGTCCTGTATGTCTGCTTTCAGCTGGAGACGACGGTGTGTTGCTCTTGTGGAGCTTGGCCACGAGTGGAGGTAAGTCCCCTCTCAGCACACACTGCAGGTGGTGACTATTCGCCAAGCATCGATGCATGTTCTCTTCTGTGTAGTTATTTTTTGTCCCGCTTGGTAACTCCATTTGGTGCGGCAACAGGTCAAGAAAGCATCGAAAGCTCCTCAAGCCGCCGCAGTCCAGACTTGGGCACGCTGTCTGACCCAGGACGAGCTACGCCTGACGAAAGCAGCGATTAGTGAGGCACAGTTGCATGATTGGATTCTGTCGGTGAGCCTGCATATGTGTCAGGCTATAGCTTGTAGTATCGCATTGACTTCCTGGGCTGGCAGCTGCACAATTTCGTCATCATGAAGAGAGCGGCTGAGGTCAGGCAGCATTTCAAAGTGTTGCTCTCTCTGGAAGTCCGAACTGCAATCTGCAAGCTGCCACTAGATGAGATAGAGGCTGCTTCAATCTCTTGGCGGATTTATGTTGTTTGTACTTTGAAACACTTAAATCCACACTTGAATATATCCCGTTGATCAGCACCTTGTGCAAGTTCAAGAGGCATACGCTAGATATGTGTGACATCCTGCCTTGTACCAATATCGCAGCAGGCAGCAGCTTACAGCATACCGAGCACTGTGTCAAGCAGACCTATGTAAAGGAAACAAGAGTCAACTGAGTTCATTATTTTGACCGAATAGCTGTAAATAAGCCTTGCTTTGGCGCTGTATTTACCCGGTGGCGGCTTTGTAGCCTGGTGCCTAGACAACTGCGACGAGGAGGGTTCAATCTCGCTCTAAGGCACACCTAATTGTTGCTCACTGAGGTGCATCTCAAGGGTCAAACAGCAGGTAAGCAGTAGTGATAAGAGCTTTAAAAGATGATTAACGCGGTCCCTTGAGTGTGGGAAAACTCCCAAGATCTTCCTCCCAGAATACGTGCCGGGCGCTCATCAGAGTATAGCCAGATGCCAGTCTTCCACAGCTTTATTCACAGGAAGACGCTGCTACAAATTAAGTGCCTGACGTGCAGTTGGCCTTGTCGGTTGTGGGTACATCTTTCCCTGTAGAGTTTCCCTGTCGCTTAGCATGTACAAAGGAGAGGCCGCACAACACTGCGATGTAATATAGAGACCCTCATTCACTGAGGTTCAGCCAGGTCAGACACACCTTTATGGGCACGAATTGGGCAAAACTTGACCTGCTGTAGTATGGTATCCCCCAGTGTAGCACGAGCATGCATGCGGACCTTCCGGACAGATGTCCAGCGGTGCAATGGCTTCTCGAGGCTTAACTAAAACGGGATTTTCGCTCGCCTCCGTACAGATGCCAGTGCTCGTTCTACAGGAGCGGCGGCCTGCTTTCCATGAGGCCTGCGTAGAAACACTCAACAGGAAGAAAATATGTCCGTCTGAAGGTAGAAAGGGCTTCACCCAAAGGTCAACCAGATGGGCGAGCCACCGATCTCACGCGGTAGGAATTTACTCTATAGTGGTACAGGATGCGTCGGCTGGCTGTACGGAATATGCGGTCCTTATATGTTTGCCTGCGTACCTCCTCACGGTGACCGTGTTCCTCTCCTGGTCTGTCCTCCCTAAAATCCAAACTTCTGGAGTGCGGTAATTAATGTGAAGCCTGAAACGGCGCTCTCAAGAAAATGACACAGAATGGCACTAAACTATGGGAGGGGCGTGTATGGGATCCAATTTTGGCAGTGGACATTTAGTTCTCCACGTGGCCGCTGTTCACAAGTGTAGCATATATTATTATGCATAACACATGTTATAATGCTCATACTCCGTGGTTTTGGGCTGGACGTACTTCAGTTTCTTCGAAATGTGCACTGGCCGTGTGTCCAGTGACACACGGATCTTAGCGCGCCGTAGGCGCCTAGATATAGCCTCTGCAGAGATCGCTTGCCCCTCGCCAACCGTAAGCAGCGCTACCTTCTCGCAGCAACAGCAAAAATGCCACATTTTGTTCTTATGTACAAATCTTCTAAGCATATGCTCTAGCACAGGAGTAGAGATATGGCAGCATAAGGTATCTAGTTGCCTTCAGCACGGTATCTACCTGGGTGGGTGCCAGCCACAGTGGCAAGTGGCCATCTAAATGCTCCAAAACAAGGCCGAAAAAGCGCTCAAGTGAACCGCACATCGCCCGATGCAGGAAGCATACGCGGTCACTATTGGTTGCTGTGGGCTCAAGACCGAAGTTCCTTGGAGAAACCAAATCGACCTGAAGAGGTGCACAGGGGAAAATGAGTTACAGTATGGTTTTGAAAGTGACTGCAATACTGTTTAACCAGGAGGGGAAGCAAATACACGCAGCTGACAAATGTGTCCGCACTCTCGACGTGGACTGGGCACCTGCAACGTTCCCGTCTGCCACAGCCGTCCTTCTCCGTCTGGAAGATGAATGTCAATCTTCGGGCCATAGAAGGCGCCCTCCCCCGACGCGACCATGAAAGAGATTCGATGTTGTTCTAGTGCGCTACGTAGCAGCTCCTAAATGAACAAACAATGAAGCAACCCAGTTATTAAGAGGGAATTGTTGGCAGTTCGCCTTTGCACCCTGCGATCAAAGCAACGGGCAACGGGCTTGACGAAACAAAAGGATAGGCTGGGAGGCAACCGAACGCATGGCTGGAGTTGTCGAGAGTCGACGAATAAGGATCTCTCACTTCAGCGCTGGCCCATTCGTCTTCTGACCCTTGGCTGCTTTTCGGCCTGAGAAAAAGCATCATCAAGTGCACCGCTACCATCGCCCTCGCGCACTCACAATCTTTCGGGGGTAAAGAGACTGAGGGAGAGTTGGCGTGAGGGCAACCTACGTCCACTCCCTACATTGAAACGACGAGAACGTACCTCGTCGAGATGTGGTAGACTATTTCGCCTTTGCTGAACCCCAATGCCCTATACAGCCTCTGGCACGCCGAAAGAAATGCCGTTACTTCTGCCAGAGCTTGAGACATGCGACACAAAATGTGGCCATCATCCTAACACCACAATTATTGACAAGTTCACAACAAATTGATGAGAGCAGGCCATGCTGTTCCCATTTCAAATGTAATTACCGTTAGTATTTCAATAACAAATATTTATGTTCCCACAACAGAGCATCTTGTATTTGAAGAAACAGTGCCCATCATCCTCTGCGGCCAACTATGCGACCGTGGGGAGCCATATGGTGGAGGTAAAGGTACCTGAGTGAATTCGCGCAGTCGCATAAGACCGCAGAGAGCGCTGGGCACCTCCCGCCTATAAACATGCCCAAATTCACTTATACGAAGTGGCAAGGGATACCCCAATCGAACCTGAAATGAAGCAAAAACACTCTGCAGAACAAGCCAGCCCCTGAAAATCGACAAGATGCTGGAACACGAAATTGTTATACAGATTGCTGAAATGAAGTCCCTGCTGAACACTGCACCATCAAACCTGAGTCAAAAAACGTTTAAGCCAGAACCGCATCCCCTCCCCTTCCGAATCCTACAGAACGATCGAAGAAATAAGAAAGATGTAGCGGGCAGCTCATTGGTTTCAAAAGGTAAGAGGCTCCAGCATCGTCAGCGAAGGTGGCCAAGGACTCTTCTCTTTCGGACATCGCTACGTTTGGCATTTCCCCTGAACGCAGGTCGCTTGCTCCTTCCCTCCGGTTTGCAATCTCAAACATGTTGTCCGCGAAGTGCTGCATGTGGCCACTGCGACGCCATAAGTGGGCTTGGGCCAATGATCCCGTGCGGACCTGTGGCACACATAAGCACGGTTTGGGGAATAGAAATCAAAGCATATCGGCAAATTCTTGCGCTTATGCATGATGACCCACTGCAACTAGAGGCTCCAATGGCGCACGTCGCTTGCCGCGTCTTCACCAACACAGCAAAGGTCCCGGTGATTTCGTGTTATTTTCATTCACCTCCTCGAATCCTTGTCCCGATTGTATGTTTCGCAAGGCTTGCTGCAGTTGCAGCATACAACATAGCCCTCTTGGCAGCAACGCAGGCCCCAGTCCACTCATTGCACCGACTTTTGGCTTGGGAAAGCAGAACAGATCCATCATCGTGCCTAATTTTCTATGGTCTTTGCTCCCATGCTCCTCCTTTACTCTGTCCCGCCGTTCATGCACAGCAGCCTCACCTCCTGCATCTTCCTCTCTATCCAAAGAAATTCGAGCTAATGCATGCAGTGTCCTCATGCGGGGCGTGACAATCCCACGATTGTATATCATTTGTGATGAGCGCCATTCTCCTTCTCTCCAGTGCAAAGGAACTGATAGAATGTGTGAGCTTTTAACCGGCAGTTCATAAGCATACACTCCGTATCCTAAAGCGCACCTCCGGAAAAACCAGAAGATGAACAGCAGCAGCCGGTACTTCGAGGCCATAGGCCGGCTTTGAGGCTGCATTACGGGTAATGCAAAGCATGCATTTGGGTGGTTCCATGCAGTAGTAAATGAGGGAAAATGAAATTCATGGGTCTGATATGTGCGTGTTCATATAATGAGCTTTGGAGAGGCGAATTATCAAGCCCGTTCAGTTCCCGCAACCACGCGAAGATCACGTGTCAACACAAACATGTTCCTAGGCTTATTCTCCGAGGCAGGACCTCGGCTCTGTATGCGTATGTGCAAAAGAAAAGGCAAGAACAAACGACTTCCATGGCTGGCGGGGGGCCAAGCAGACAGGCTACCACACGGCAGCACTGCAACTCGCTCAAAATCAACAAAACCCCGGGGGAAATCTTGCTCAAAACATCCCAAGAAGATGTTATTCTCGTTAAATAATGCCCTAATTTGGTTGAATAGTATTAAGTTCTCAACACAAAACTACACCGCCTTCAACGCGCATGGTGTGGCTTCCTTTCGGGGCCTCGCCTACTGTAGACGGTCGTGCCCTCGATGCAACGACTCTAAAATATAAATTCAAGGAAGTGCAGTGTAATTTGAATTGTGTTCATTGTAAACCTTTCCAAAGCATCTTTAGATGGAGGAAGGGAGGGCCTCCACGCCTCTTTCGTTTTCCTTGTGTTCAGAGTCGGAGCGGTCTGTCCAAGGAAAGCCGATGCTGCATCTATTCGAGTTGCGCAGAAAGGAGAAACCTGTTCTTCATAGGCACATATTCATTCAAATTTAGACCTAAAGCTCGTTCCCTCTTTTTTCTTCTCATTTCCCCGGAAGTTTCCAGGTGAACATGATTGACTTATCGATCGCCGGCCTGCATCAGCTGGCACTCCAATCATCACTTTCAAGTTCGAAGCCCTGAACAACCGCTGTGTTGAACACTGTGTTGTACATATCCTGTTGATAGTCCATCGTGTACTACACGGGCTGGCATCTATATGCTGAGGGGCTTGGGGAAGCCGCCTGAACTGGGCTTCGAAGGTTTTGCTACCAGTCATTTATAGTTTTAGGTTTCGCTGGCGGATTGGGAGCAACTTACTCTATGGGGGCTCCGGAGTTGGCGACGGCTTGAGTTTTCCTCGCTGAATTTCAGCAAACGGATTACTCTGCTGCCTCATGGAAGGAACAAAACAGTCGAGGATTCCGCATTGCCTCTAACGAGAAGCAATAACTCCCGATGCCGTCGCTAGCAGCTGAAGAACGCACGCTGCATACAGCAGCCAGCGGAAAACCTCCAACACTGCATCTTACGACCCTCGGACACGCCTCGAGGATGCGAATGGGCAAACTCTCTGGCTTTCCTATGCTGCTGGCAGGAGCAAGGGGGAGGTCCCCCTCGGGAGGAAAGGTTTTTTCTCTTGCGTTTCATATTCTTCTGGTCCTTTTTCTGGTACCAAGTCCGGCGTTTGGTGTCGGGCCCCACAGCCACGATGGGCCACCCGGCCTGCCTTTGCCGGCTGCTGCAACGGGAAGAGAGGAAGCGTCAGCCGTCCACGCACGGGACAGCTTGAAGCCTGTCGATTCGGTGCAAAGAAGAACTGGAGATGCAGCACAACTCCATAAAGGGCCAGCTGCCAATCAAAGCCAGAGGCAGAAGGAGGCTCAAGCCCAGATATCAAGTAGCTCAGATGGACAAGAAAGCCGGGAGAGTCGGCTAAACAAAGCTAAAATGGCAGCAGAAAACCACGCTGTGCCTCCGGGCCTCGCTGCAGACAGCAACATATCCATCAGACGCCCGTGAGCCCACACGCATGCATGCATACAAGTCGTTTGGAAGCCTATGCGCATACGCATGCATGTGAGAAAATAGTTCCAGGCGATTTCAGCATCTCCGCATGCACGACGCTGAAGCTCTAAACTTAGACTCGATGGAGTTCGGTACTGCATCCATTTGATGCGTTGTTCGTGCAAGTGTCTACTGTGCGGGCATTCACATGCATCAGCTTGCTGCAGCTGAAATCTCTCTCGCCGTCTCTACAGCCCGTCTTTCTCTCGCCTCGTAGAGAGAAGCAAATGGGCTTTAAAAGACTGACTTGTGTGTGGCTGCTGCTGTACTTTTTGTTCGATCTGTACGTATTGTTGTTTTTTCTCGTCACTATTTTAGCGTCTTTTTCGTACTTTGTTATCGCGTTGATCCTTTCTTCATTGCATTGCTGGATCTTGCAGCGCACCAGTTTCTTACCTAAAGCGGCATCGTTCTGCATAGTTTAAATTACTGTGCTCCGCAAAGTTCATGAGGTGTACTTGGAGTGATTGAGAAACACGTCACTGCATTTCCACGAGATGTGCTGGACATGGCGCTTTTGTGGACTGACTTCCCTCTTATGCGTTTTCAAGGGATGTACGCACTTCTTTTGTGTGACAGGTTCGACTTGCTGCGGAAGGCGGCAGCATTATTTGGCGACTCTCCCTGGCTTTTGACAAGCGAGGAAGACGGGGGAGAGGCGTTTTCTAAGATTACTTACAAGCAAGTAAGATAACACAAAACGGGAACTTTAGGGTGTATGCAGTCGTGCACTCCTTAAAATGTTCAGGTTTTATCTTTTAAGGGTGTGGACTCAACCCGCTCAGCAGAGCTACTGGAAGCTTATTCTGCTTGCTCTGGCTTGCTGGTGCTTTTGCTGTTTCTCCCCTTGCTCTTACTGCTTCTGACATTGCTGTTTTTTGATGCCGCCGGTTTAGGGCTACGCGGTGGCTTTGGCTGTGGGCTCGGGCCTTGATCGTCTTGTCCCGCCGTCGCAACTTCCGCAGCACGATGGGGCAAACGAACCTCTTCGCCTTGTGGGGACTTGGGCCGACAACTCTGTGGAGCTGCTCCTGGCGGACTTTGGGGGTAAGATGTAATTATTCCTGTATTTTTTGAAATCGGTACTTTTAGTATGCTTTTCAATATCTCTGCTGCCAATTCAGTGTGCTGATTTCAACGTATGCTTTTGTTGCTTTCATGGAAGGCATTCGTGGGTCAGGTGTCAAAATTTCAGGTTCGTCAGCATCGATTACTTTTAATTTGACTGTTGTCAATAGGGTCAATATTTCTCAGGGTCCACTTCATTACTGTTGCTGCTGAAGTTGTTGTGCCATTGTTCATGCTACTGCTGCTGTGGTTGGTCTATTTATTGATGCTGCACTTTTCAGTATTATGGCCGATATGTGCCACTATGTAGTACTATGGCTGTTATACATGCAAATGGGCACCAACTCACACTCACGCGCAGGCTCAGGAACGCTGACAGCGCATGCTTATGAGCGCGCGCGCATGTATTTTAGCCTACAGGAGCCTACGTATTTTCGCATGCATATGGACACTCGAAACAGTTTCAGAGTAACCGAGTTCTGTAGCTTGGGGAAAAGGCTATCAGGGGGACTGAGGTACTTTTGCCGTTCCATGCATATGTGTGTGCTTGCAAAGATCCGCATTTTCCCGTGCACTTCTCTGTATTTTCGCCTATTAGGCGCATGATTACTTGGGTGTTCGATTGCATGCCGGTGAGCTTTGGGATGAGCGTATTTACATCGATGTTCGTTTGCAAGGCTGCTTATGCTGCGTTTGTTTCTCTCGGCTACCAGCGGGGGCCTTTGGGATGACAGTAGTGCCGATGCATCCAGAAATGAACGCTCGACGGTTTTTGGAAGTTGTTATTCATACGCGTAAGTTGTCTAATATTCACTTTTCGCAAGCAACAGTAGACTACCTCTTTACGACAATCGATATATATATTTATAGATCGAACCCACACCGACACTTTGAGTACTTACAAGTAGCATTCAGAGTAGAGGGAAACAACGGGAAGGGTGAGTTTGCGTTGTCTGTGGCATTAGAAATGACCCACCTTTGTGCGGACTGGCGTCATCTGGAGATAGTCTTGGATCTGCGCGAGGGGGGGCAACTGTCGAATTTGTCGGCTGTAATTACACTGGATGCAGTGAGGTTTCTCCTTCTCCCTCCACTTATTTTGCTGTGCTCATAAATAGGAGTCGTTTCCAACTGACTTTGTAACGATTTGTCTTGTACCTCGCGGCGCTCTGCACTTGTTGTCCTGACAGTGGCAAGAGCAGAGCACTTACTCTGTCAGGGTTAGATTGCATTCAGAGAATGGCTTATAGCTTCTCTGCATGTGTATACGGTGCAATTGGAGTAATGTGGCAAACGGGGAGACCTCCTAATCCTCTTTTAATAGAGTAGAAAGACATTCGCCCTCGTAGTGTTGCATACAATACTGTTGCTGCAGGTTGGAGACCAAGCGGTGCAACGAGCTCAAGCCCTCGACTTGGCCCTTGTAGACTTCTGGGAGTTGGCGGATTCCCCCAATGTGCGTCTGATGTGACTGCTGTTTGGTTTTACATACTTTGTATCAATTTCCATGCTTACTGTTGAAATGGCCGGTCCCGGTGTCCTTCCCTTATAGCCAATCAACAGAAAATCACTAGGCTTCTGCACATAACACATTGCGCACTCTAGCACCCCACTTACGTTTCAGACGTTGCACTGGCTACGCCATTTACCGCAAATGTCTGACGATAGCAGGGGCAACGCTGCAACTGCTGCTGTTCGGAACTGGTGTAGCTGCGATGACCACAAGAGCCGACATTCCCGCTTCGAGCCTGGCCTAATACTCGGAATGTAACTGCAGAACTGTCGGCTAGTGCTTCTGCTGATACAGGGCATAGGGGAACATAGACTGAAAACTCTACACCGCTCGGGTTTTGACACTGAGGAAATCGCCGCCGTCATCTATCCAAGGGGTCCGTATCCGTCTCACCAGTTCTTTTTTCAATGTCCTTCTGGTAGTGTGGGTTGATCTAGACTCGTTTGCGCGATGTTTCTTGGCCTTTCTCTTTTGTGCACATCAGACAAATATCTATAGGGGTGCGCATGCCTTTCTCAGTGGACACAGTGCCTCGTGGTGGCTGAAAGTGCACATATAACGGGCTCATTTAAAGTGTGTGGGAAATGTATTTGATGTGTATATGCGTCAGACGCGTGAGTATTTACATTGCATATAGCCTTCCTTTGGTGCATATTAGCGTTACATACATACATACTTCCAGTTGATATTGCATGCATGTTTGTATCTAAGGTAGTTGTGACTACTATACAGCACCATTATGCATTGTGGGTCTTTGAAATGCTTTGCCTGTCTGTTTTGTTCAACTTGCTTCTGTAGCGCTGTCTATGCCGTTTAACGGGGCCATGCTAAGTAACGAAAACGTCCTGGCCTCGCTTGATACCCTGACAGACTGGCGGGCAAGGGCTCTTTTTATTATGGAAGGTACGTTCTGGCTTGTTCAGTGCTGTTTGCGGAGGTCGCTCAGCTGCTGCTTGTCCCCTACACAATTTGGTTTACTTGCGGACTCCGTCGTGATTGTTGCTTCTGTTTCGTTTGTCCTATCCACCTTCTGGAACACGTTCTGGTGTTCTTTCTTTGTGGAATAGTGAGTGGCCCATTGCATGTAAGCACGGAAGGGCTGTCTTAAGAATGCGCATTTGCTGTTCGTGCTGCTGCCACTGCTGCTATTAACGTGTTTCCTCAGGGGATAGGATGCTGTGCATCGACTCTCTCGCTTCCATTCACCAGCGCGTGCTACACTTGGCAGTAGTCGAGGCCGGCGCAACTGTGGCCTTTGCCCGCAGCGTGAGGTTTCTTGCATGCACTTCAAGCATCAATATGGCAATAACGTGCTATTGATTTTGTTCCTGTAGCCGGTGCTATTATTGCCGCGACTGCTGCTGTCCCGGGCTGAGTTGTTGCTTGTGTGGCTACTGTTCTTTGCATGCCTACATAGCGCGATCGCTCGTTGGCTACTAGAGAGCCCTAGTACAGCAACAGGTCATACGGGTGGTGGTGGACCCCCAAATAAGCGGAAACAGATCAACTAAAGCCAATTTAGGGTAGGGGGTTTCGGGTTTCGTGTTTAGCGCTGGGAATTATGATTGTGTTGTAAGTGCAGGGACTGCTTACTTTGGGGAAGGATCTCGAAACCTTGCAGCCAACCATCATTGCTGCATCAGGAGGTATTTTGCCCATGCTACACGCGGCTGTAAGTACAGTGGGGTCGTGCGATCCACGTAGCTGCCTACTTTATGCGAGCACCGCCGTTGGTTTTGGTGTTCCCTCGCATTTACACGGAGCACAAAGCTTGTTCTTAGTATTGTCATATGTGTGTAATGACCGCAAAAACAATGCATAGCATCCCCTAGGGCCCGTAACATACGCGGGCGTGCATACAGAACACTGAATTATAGAATTATTCTTTAAAATCATGTACTTTGAGTGATCCACACCTAAGCCTAGCCCACACATGTGTTCTAAGGCATGGTGCCTGCCTCAGAAGATGCTGAGGGGCTCGCGCTTGTATTTTGCTGTATCCTCCAACTCTATTCCGTCTCCAAGAAAGGATAACAGAGGATGCACGCAGTACTGATTTGTGGATTTGCTTTCTTGTTTGGAGGCTTACTAGTTTGCCATTAGCTTTTGTGCTTCCTGGTCATTCCTTGTATTCCTTAGGTTTAGCTTTCCATTTGCCAACTATGTTCATTGATAATATACTTCTCTGTTTATACTTACGAGCATTTCCTTGTGAACATGTTTGCTCAGGCAAAACGCACCCTTAAGAGTATGGGTCGGCTGCGACGATTTTGGGTTTTGCTGAAATTGAGGTTGAGGGCCCGACGGTATTGGCAGACGGGAGATTTTGAGCTCCTAGGAAGACCGGCAAGTTGCTTGTTTTGTGTGGTTTGTTTGCGTATGCTTCTTCCAGCTGTCTATTTTACTTGGGTGGTCGTCCCGTTCAGTTTGGGGATGTTGGTTGGCTTCTTTGTGTTCCGTTTCAGTGCGATAATTCCTTTGTTTTGTTTCTGGCGTTTTCACAAACTAGGGAGAGTTTTCGTCGTCTTGAGTAATTCTTCAGATTACTTAGCTGATGGTTTCATTAGCCTTGTTGAACGTATATTGTGGTTGTATGTGTTATCTGGTCCATTCAGTTTTCCAGTTCTTGTTTGGTGCACTTGTTATATCTACTTGAGTGCATCTCGGCACTTTAACGTTTTCCGTGTTCCCGTATTTGGTCAACCAGATTTTCAGTTAGCTGGTGCTCTTGTTGGCTGGTTCTGTAGCTTGTTTGTATGGCCATCTTGCCTTTCAGTGTGCGTGGTTGGTCCTTTTGGCCTAGTGCTGAAGCTGCTCAGATTTGAAGTTAGGGCATATAGTGAATGGTCTTGCATTGCAGACGTTCGTTTTTTTTGACGTTGCTAACATCACAAACCTCAGAGCCTGGCCGCTAAATCCTAGTTCATACATGCCGCCTGTGATACCTTGTGGGGCAGTACTGTGTCTCACAGTATTGCATGAAGAAAGAGCAGGAGAGAATGATGCAAAGACAGAGACAAAAACACAAGAGGAAGGCATGATGCCAAATAAAAGCAAAATGCACGTCACTACAGAGAATGGGCTTTTCAGAAAATTGACGAGTGTAGGGGGCGAAAAGCTGTGATGCAATGTGGTTTCTTGCAGCCATTTGAAGAACTGAAGGCTCAGCTGGCCCCGGTCCACACCATCATTGCTGCCCCGGCTTTGGTTTCAAGCGAACTCATTAAGGAGTTGCAGCTATTGTATTCGGTGGTTATTGTGCATGTAGGTTGCAGGGCTCTAGGTTTGAGCTTGTTTTCCTGTCTTTTCAGTTTGCCTTCTACTGTCCTTTGTTGCGGCATCTTCGTGTTGGTTGTTTACGCTATTCATAACTGTTGCGTTGGCATGTGCTATGCTTCATATGCTTTTCTTGTCGGCCGTATACCTTGTTTGGCGTTACGGTGTCTTCTTGTTCGTTTCCTGTTCCATGCTGTTCTCTGTGTTCGTACGTCACCTCTCTCTTGTCATTTATATGTGTCCATACGGGCTTACCCATGCCGTCTGTATCTGCATCCTCCTGCATTCTTTTGCATAGCTCCGTATGTTCCCCTATTCATGTGGAGTTATTCTGTAGTTTCCTCGTTTTTGGCGATATCTGTGTTGCGGTTTGTCCACTTTTCATCTGCGCTAATGGTGATTGTGATTGCCTCTGACAGCCAGTATCTATGTGTGTCGGTTAATCTCCTGCTGTTGCTACAGCCTCTAGGACAGCTTCTACTAGTTGTTCCGCTGCTCCACATCTTTGCCTGTTGCCGCAAACCGTGCTTCGCCAGATCCCGTTGCTACTATTGCTGCTGCTTCTGCTTTGTGTGCAGGCGTGTTGTTCTGCGGAGACCGGAATAGCGTTTTCGAGTCGAGAGCAAAACAACAGCCTCAGCGGCAGCAACGATAGCAGCAGTGCGAGTGGGGTAGGAACCCCTTCAGAGTTTGGAAGGGTGCGTGCTGCTCCTTTGGGCTGGCCGTCTCCTGTGGTTGTGGTGGATTTGGAGGAGTTGTCTGCAGCAGATAAAGCAAATGCAATTGACTATCATGGCGAGGAAGTGCCAGGGAAAAGATCGGGGGGATCACCGCTTGTTTTAAAAACCTCAAAAGATCATACTCACCAGCAGATTGTCAGCATTAGCCGGCGCCGTAGGCGCAGCCGCCTCAACGGGCGCAAGAAACACAGCGTTACAGAGTGCGGATGCTGTTTTCACGAAATCCTAAACCCTTAAGCTCAACCAGTACCCCAGAAATTTGCCTGCCGGGGTACTGACCAACTGCCGCAATTGCGAAAACAACAGGAGCAGACAAGACTTGTGTTGCCGTTCTGCTGCTTCTGAAGCGCCACCAAGCATTGGCTCTTCTGGTGTTTGGGGTCTATGATTTATCTATGTGGAGGACCTGCGTGCGTGTGCCTCAGGGGAGAGATCGCTATTCAGGGCCCCTGTGTTTCCGTAGGTAAGGAGCTCTAACAATCTGATCTGTCGGTAGAGACGACCGGGTGCAGCATGTCGTTTGTTTGACTTACGTTGTTCATATGTTGGAGGTGATGAATGGATGCAGCGGGTGGTTTTGGTGTGTATGATGGTGGTTTGTGCAACCAGTGCGAATTGTTTCTGTTCAAGAGGGGAAAGCATACAAGGCGCGTGAATGAGAAGTTGCGTTTCAGTAGTTGTTTATGAGGCGCGAAGCGAACTGGCCTGTATCTTTTGGAGGAAGAAACGAACAAACCAGCCCATTTTATTCCTCCACAGGAGACGATAAACCGTAGCAGGCTTTGCGCGTGCAGCGGAGACGAACAGCTGTACCACCGATGGCGTTGCCCCCGTGCATGCCCGCGCGGGAAGAGTGTTTGTAATTGTCTTCGTGTTTTGCCTTGCTTTGGTCGAGGCGGGTGTTCCTTCGATGCCTATCTTTCTTTTCCATGTGTTGCTGTATGCTTTTGCTTGTCGTATTGGTTTGGGGTTTGCATTGTTTTAGGCTGGGTTTGCATTTCCGCATGTTTGTTCTTCTCCCAACTGTTTTTCCTTCTGCCTTACTACTGCATTCTTTGCTAATTTGCCCCCCTCTCCAGTGCTGTTTCAAGCTTTTTCGAAGTTTAGATGGCCTCTTATTGTCTGTTGATCAGGCTATTACCGACACCAAACAGCATTTCAGCGTCAGCTAACTCCTCGGGGTTTGTACAAGACCGGTCTAGTTGGAATCTCAACAGGAGACGGCTTCCCTTTCTTGCTTACCAGCTCCCTCTCGCGAAGTGTACTGACAGCTGAAGGGGAGTTTATCGACCTAGAAGAAGCAGAGAGACAAATCCGGAAAGTTCACATCGTTAAGAGGGTTCTGTTGTATGTAGACGACTTTCATGTCAGTACACCCAAATCCACGCATTCGGAATCGACACAATTTTATCCCCAATTCCTCCATTAAATAGCAGGGTTAAACCGTAATCCAAGATGCACTAAAACACCCCTCCTGCCATCCGAACCCTCTTCTCCCTTCACTATAGGTTCCCAACATATGTACATTGCTGCTTTGGGTGTCAAACCTCGGGGCCTGTCGCCATCCATATTATTTCACATACTGTAACGTTGGTGAAACGTATTCTAAGTGTATGGTTTCATTTGGTTGCTGCGGTTGCGCCTGCACTCAGTCTCCTCTTGTTGCGATTGTGCAACCCCGGAAAGGTGCTGTTTTTCGCTGGGCAAAAACGCGGTTTGCTGTCGGTCCATAAAGCCCTATCCCCTAGAACCCTATTTGTTGAAGCCCCAACTCTCCACCATAGAGTGTGGAACTGTAAAGTGTAAAATCTGGAGCGTTGTATCCAAAAGCCTTAAAACATGAACCGCAGACAATTCACCATCTACCGTAGTCCGTTAAAGGTTAAGCACTCAAAGCGTAGACTCAGAATACTAGACGCTAAGCTCTAACCGCTAGTCCCGACGCCCTATACCCTAGATATTACTGCTTGCTTGATGTCGATGTGTGCAGTTTGCGGACGAATACGGGGCCTCATATGAGGAGTTGGTATCTTTACCGGCGTTGCGGAAGTTTGTGTTACATGCAATTCAAGAGGAGACATCGCTCAGTCTTGAACACTTTGAACTGCCTAAGGCAGTGTATCTGGTGCCGCACGACGTGGAGCTGCCTGTGGCGGTTTTCGATCAAGGGAAGAACGGTCCAAACAAAAGTAGTCATCTCATGAGCAGGCGGCAGCTCGCAGAGGCATATGCCCAACCTATACAGGAGATGTATTGGCAGTTGAACGAGTAAAGGGAAGAGCATAAGGAACCACTGACATGATTGAAGTCTCCATTTTCTACTTGTTTCGTTGTTGTTTTGATCTTCTTCTGCATGGGTTGTGGCATTTTTTCATTCGCCCGGTAGAGCAGAGGACGAGTATATAAGCTAATAGTGTAAGGAGTCTAGGCGCAGATAGCAAAACCGGTTAATCCAGAAGTAAAGGTGAGATGTATTGGCATTGTTAGCGACAGCTCCACCCAGAAAAGCGTATAAAACGCAAAACACAATACGTACTTTTTGCAGCGAATCTGACACTCAGGCAGCAGAACTTGCCCGATGTGTTGTGTCTTCACTTTTTATATTTCTGATTAAAGAAACGCATTCGGCACCTGCAGATTGGCGAACCTGCTCTTTTGGCAGCAAGCAACGCCATAATACAAGGCTGCGGGCGCACGAGGAGGGCTACGAAACTGCAGTACAAATTGGGGCGGCGCGGTCTGGGATATAAAAGCACCTCCTTAAGTCATGGCATGCTGCACATACCGCTATTTCTCCATTCGAGCGTTCTTGTGCCTGGGTACGAAACGAGAGGTCGGTGCACAGAGGGAGCGCCAGAGCTTTGAAAACAAAGAAGCGGAGGCGCAGTAGCAAGAAAAACAAAGTAGAACCGCCGACATCGCTTGGGCGGGCTAACGTAGCGGCACTGCCGCTTGTCTATTCTCTTGCTCACATTGTAACCTGCAACTTTACAATGTTGGAAAATCAACTGACTAAAGAACGACAAAAGTGCTTGCCCAGTGCATGGATAGCTTCTTCGACTGTCCAACATCCTACGCTTTCGCAAAAGGTGGGAATCCCACCGAAACAAACCGAAGGGCACAGCAGGTGGGCGTCTGTCGTAAATGCTTGCATGGCGATCTTGTGGTGTTTTCACACGCTACCCAGCTGCTGAAAGCTGTACTTGGAAGACTGCAGCTACGGGCTGCCAACAGCATGACTAAACATCGGGTTAGCTACTAATATTTTGGTACCTGAGACCCACCCAGAAAGAAATGGGCAGAGGAGTGCATTGCTGCATTGTCAATCAGCTCAAAGGATGCAGTCACATCGATGCTTATAATTGAGTACGGAGGTGCATGTAGTGAACAGAATTGTGGCTGGTGAGTTTAGCCGCTCCATGAATTCGCACCAAAAGGAGCCAATAAATTTTGTTTATGTATTAGTAGTGACGTTTTGCATAAATCCGTAGGGCCACTACAGATGGTTAGTCAACGAATGCGGCACTCCTGCTGTTAATGACTTGGAACACATGGTACAGTATGAATATTTGAAGAGTCTCTCTTCAACTAAGTAACTGCTACCACGGCATTTGATTAATGGTGAACTCCTATGTATCCACTGATATATCTGCCAGGACCCGTTCTGGAGAAGGACAGCTCTGCAAGTATCATGGCATAATGCATTACTCGCCGTTCGCTCCTGATATTCCGGTCAAGCGCCAGCATGGCCTTCAGGTGGACGGGTTCGTCCTACGCCACCAAAAGCTTGCCAGCAGCCCTATTACTGCACTGACCCACCCATGATCGGCCAAAGCAAGATCGCGCACTCTGAGAGGAAATATTGCATTAGGCGGGGCGGGGCTCCCCCGCCTGTCCCCACAGGAAATACCTGTCTATGCTGCAGTCCCTGACACTCCAGAAGTTGGGCCCAGCACGTAGGGAGAACAGAACATAAGGGTGAAGCAGGAACTGTTGCGGAGTCCTACGCTTACCGAACGGCACAGTTGATCGGTATACCGTTATGACAGTATGGCGGCAAGCGCTTTGCTGTTACCCCTATGATACTTGACTGTAAAGTCTTCCTTAGCTTACCAAAGGTGTCACCGAAGGACTATATTATCATCTAATTATCCGAATATATACTTTTCAGTGGATTGGACTATTGATAATCGGTGCTGCTCGCTTCTGGAGATGCGAACGAGGCCAAGGATAAATTACGAACAACTACGATGCACGAATTGTTGGAACGACCGGGGTATACAAGTGTCATGGTAACTAGTCTCTTCGCAGGATGTGTTCGACGCTTGCTATACATACACGACGTGCTAAGCAGTTGCTTGATTGTTTGCTTGCTTTCTGCTTCTCCGACTGTTTTCGTGAAGTTCTTGGCGAAGAACAAGCTTTTCACCTTTTCTGGCTTAACAGGTTTCGTTGCGCTCTTCGCAGGTGTTCTGGGGTGTTTACTCTGCAGTTCACCTTGGGTGTTTATTACAGCTTCGTGTTTATTTTGCAGCGAATTCTATGGGGTGCAGGATGGGGAGGACGGCGAACTTATGCCCTGAACTATCTTCTAACCCAAGTGCAACCAACAAAAATGATGTTGACTGCCAGTAGAGCGTTTCTTGAGGCCAGCATCTGGTAGAAACTGCATACCACTTCCATCGGGCGGAAAACGATGGAAACTAAATGTTTACAGAGACTTAAAATAGAGTAAGAGGAAAGGGAAAATGTTATCAGAACCAAGGCCAGGAATTCGAAGTTAAGGCATATGGTAGGACGTCGCCTACAGGGTTGTGAAACAAAGATTCCCCGCGCCTAGTTAGCAACCGTTTTTCCCTCATTTCAAAGGGACACGAAACCCAGAACAGCTGCAAAGGGGGCAAAAATCAAATTCAGTATGAAAGAAGACGCTGTCGACAGGTTGGTGGTTGCCACAGTGTTTGCCGGTGCAGTTGTTGTGGCTGTTGTTGCTTGTGTTGCTGCTGTTGTTGTTGCTGTTGTTGTTGTGGGTGTTGCTGCTGTTGTTACGGGTTTTGTTGTGGTTGCTTCTGTGGGTGCCGGTGCCGTTGTATTTGTTGATATTGTTGTGGCTGGTGTGCTTGTTGCTGACTGTGTTGGCATGGTTATTGATGATGTCTCCGTGGTTGGTTGTGTAGGGCTAGTTCCTGTGTCTTCAGATGGTCCGAGTCCGGGTGCCTCCATAGAAACTACAACGTACCCAAGCAACACATTCGTGGAAGGCTATAGAGCGTTGTTGTTGTTGCTGTCGTTGTTGAATTTTCACTTGCGCTTAATGCTCATCTTTTACTGTGCCTCCCTACATCGCGTTTGCCGGCTGGGGTGCATGTTGGCACCTGTACACGACACAACCCACTAATGCACACGAAATGAGGTTCAAATGAGTGCCCTGCTGGTGGGCAGAGGTGACTTGTTTGTGCTGTTCACCGCATACAGTAAGCTACACTGACTCTATTTTAACGGAGATAAAATAGAGTATAGAGGATGTCGTAACGTAAGCAGATGCCAAAAACACGATTCATCGAGAAGAATGCGCTCAACGTAATATATAAATGCGATTGAGTACTGCTGTTGTATGCAGCTATACTTCGTTGCATATCTGGCCTTGTATCCAGGGAGAGCTGGCTGTGGTTGCATGCTCGCTGCCAACCTTTTTCATCTGATATTTGGAGAAAGCCAGAAAGACGCACCTGCCCTGAATTGTTCTTCAAGATATAGGCTGGTTTCCGAGACCGAGACACAGAGAGCGCTAGTTGAAAGAACTACAATGACGTTGAGGATCCCCATTTTGCGTAGCGTAAATAGTGTAAAAGCCAAATTGAGTTACTGCAATTCAGGTCATGCCAATACGACAGGTGGCCCACAAGACACTTAAGCTATAACAAGCCTCTTCTAGAGTTTCGCGTCAGTTCAGGGCCGTCGGCCCCAACCTGTACGTAGGCGGCAGCAGTTACAAAGCAGGCTGCAGAGGCTGCTTCTCTTCGATAGCTATGGAAGAAGCGAGTGGGAAAGGTTATTCCAGAGGAATAAGTTACTAAGGAAGAACATCCTACACAGCTACCGTTAGACGTCGCACATGAAGTGACTTCTGTGGAGTCTGACAATGGCTTCCTCACTTATATACACTGTGTCTCCTTAAAGGAGGGAATGTACAGTCTGTGACGAGGGAATATGCCGCTGCCGTATACTTAGCTCCGGGGCTATGCACCGATGTGCGCAGGACTCAAGTAGACTCAGGAGGATGCCACCATCTCCTTTTCCTTTGTCATGATTTAAATTATTTTGCCTATTCTAGCTCAAGACTACCGTCCGCTATATCGAGGGCTGTCATTATACACAGGGCCTGATTTTACTTACTGGTGTTCCACTACGCTCCGTGTTCCAAGAGGTGTGCGACTGCTTTATTCACACTTTTACCCCCTTAATATTATTATTTTAACCTAGCTTTTTCATTCTAATGTTGCATTATTTTTGATTTCGTCCTCCTTCTGTGCACCTGCGCATACAGACAAACATCGCGGCGTCGCGGGGCTGTTGCCGTTTGTAGGCTATGTTTGTATGTCTTAGACTGGGGCTTAGGGAGCAAGCTTTCTGCGTTTCCCTCACCTATACCCTTTTATCTTTTGCTAAAATACATTTTAAGACAGCTTTGTTGTTTTTCTTGCTGCCCTTTTAACTGATAGCTTATAGCTGCACGTAGCCCGTGCGGACGCCGCTGCATGCTACCCAACCGGTATTTGCAAAGCCGGAAGCTACAAGGCGGCAAAGTTCTCTGCCTTATTCGCGTTAGCAAATTGAAACGTCAACTTATAGTCATAAATTTAAACCAGAACTCCTGCGCTGAATCTAGGGAGCTGCTTCGTCTGCCCAAGGCAGCAGCTGCAGCTGCAGCAGCAGTAGCAGCAACGGCACCAGCACCAACAGCACCACCACCAGCAGCAGCATCTTTAAGTAGCAGTTATTAGCGGCCCACCAAGCACATGGTTGCTGCTTCATAGCTGAACACAAGCGAAGAATCGCTGCATACTGCATTATCCATGCATCCTCCCGGGCCCCGTGGTACTGGGGGGCCCCCCGACCCCCGAGATCTGCCTCCTGTACATGCTGCCCCGGGACCCACCCCTGGCCCCCCTGTGCCTCCAGCGCCTCCAGGGGGGCCACCTGGGGGGCCTCCGGCACCCCCTCCACACCTAATGTTTCCTCACTCTCCTCTGATGATGCCTCCAGGGATACCGTTGCCAATGGGGGGCGTGCCTCCTGCGTTGTTGCCTGGGGCCTTGGCGCTGCATCATGCTGCAGTTGCAGGTGCTGCAGCAGGTGCAGCGGCAGCAGCAGAGGAAGCGAGGAAAGCGCATGAACGCTCTCTTGCGGGCGGGGGTGCCCTTGGCCCCCATGACGGGGCACCGCATTTGCCTCCGGGTGTTCCCCTTGAACGAGCAGGCAGGGGAGGAGGGGGCCCCCGGGGACCCTCTGGTAAACGCCATAACGCAGAAAGGAGTGGCGGCAACTGGCGTCGCTTACCCAAGGAGGAGAGGCTGAGCCGCATGCACATGCAGCAGCAGCAGAGGGGGAGGTCGGATTGGCGGGGTACTGGAGGGAGCAGCAGAGACAAACACTCTGCAGGAAGCCGGTGGAGAGGAAGTGGAGGGGGGGGACACCAAGGGGAGGGAGCAGGCGCCCCCATGAAACGGTCGCGTGCTGCTTTGAGGGGTTTCAGGGGCCCCTCGGGTCCCCCTGGGGGTATCTCTGGGGCCTCTTCAGATTCAGAGTTGTCACTTATGTCAGTTGCATCCCAGGAGCAAGAGCAGCAGCAGCAGCAGCAGCAGCGAAAGCGGGAACAGCAGGAGGACCATCAGCAAGGAAGGAGGAGTCCGTCTGTGGAAATGTTGCAGCAGCATGGGGGCCACCTAGCTCCTGGTGAGGGTATGAAGGGGGCCCTTACCCCTATATCTTCTCTCTCGGGTTCGGAGTCCGACTTATCTTTGTCTGCCGCCTCTGCTTCATCGGAAAAGGGGGGCCCCCCTGAGGGTGTCGGGGGCCCATCGGACGGGATTGGTGGGGGCCCCGCTGACGGGTTTGGGGGCACGCGTGAGGGGTTTGGGGGCACGCGTGAGGGGTTTGGGGGCCCCCATGAGAGTTTTAGGGCCTCCTCCGAGGGGTTTGGGCCCTCACCTGAGGGGTTTGGGCCCCCCCCTGGGTTGGTTGGGGGAGAAGCGGATGTGGGGTATATAGGGGAGCGTACTCGTGATGTGGTGGGATCTGGAGTGGAACGCCGGAGCAATAACAACACCAGCAACAACAACACCAGCAGCAGCAGTAACAGGAGGGGTGGGGGTCAATTTTTGTTTGATCTTTGGGTCCCCACAACCTTCCATCCAGGTGGTAAAGAAGCAGCAAAAGTGCTGCTAGGGGTCCGGGGCTGCATGCACAAAGAGCTGCAGAAGGCAGCAGGGGCCCACGTGCAACTATATGGCAAGGAATTGAAACGTAACACGAATAAACATGAATATGACGCATTCAGGTATTGTTTATAGTCACCAATTTCTCTCCTTTCTTCTTTATATTATTATCTGTCTAATATATTTATTTATATTGTCTGTTTATAATATAATCTATTTCTGAATATACACATATATGTATATTTATATGTATATATGCATACGCCTAGGAGAAGTATCCCCTTGATTGTGCCTAGTTATTTGCCCTCGTTGCTGTGTTAAGGTGTGTGTTACTTAATGTTTTATTCAAGTGTATATTGTTTTTCCTTTTTTTATGTTTGTATGTGTTAAAATATGTGTTAATTTCTGTTATGCTAGGGTTTAGGGTTTAGGGTTTAGTGTTTCTTGTTTAGCGTTTACAGTTTAGGTTTCATGATTCATGATTCAGGATATAGGTTTTATGATGTATGGTTTATGTTTATAAGGGTTTAGGGTTTAGGGTTTAGGGTTTATGCATATGTGTGCAGAGATAATCAACCATTACATTTAGTGGTGAGTACGGATAGACACCGTAACCCTAATCCTTCTCCTCGTGAGCAGCTGCAGATAGTTCATCGTTTGCAGCATATGTTGGAGTCCTTAGTTCGTGATTCATGGCCATCAACAGCACCACATCCTCCTCCTTCCTTCTATGATAAACAAAGATGCTTGGGGCCCTCTACGGGGCCCCTTGTAGAAGTTAACCCTCTTGATGGATCATGTAGGGTACGAACAGGACCACCAAATACACCATCATCAACTGCTCCTCCTCCTTCTGCAGCAACAGCAGCAGCAACAGCTGCTGGTGCTCCTCCTACTGCCCCTGCTGCAAATGCTGCGGCAGCAGCAACCGGTGCTGCAGCAGCACCGGGTTCAGAGGCAGCAACAACGCAACAGCAGCAAGATGATGATGCAAGGGGTGGGGGGGGTAGTAGGGGCCCCTCACGCCTCCACTCTCACGGAAGCGATCCTCTAACAGCAGTGGGGCCCCCAGGAGGGGGCCCAACTGTTACTCAACCCTTTCAGGGGGGCCCTCAGGGGGGCCCCCTTCCCTCTTCTTCAGACACAAGGAATCCAGATGGAACAACAGGAACGCCAAATTCATTTTCTCAGCATGCTGCTGCTGCTGCTGCAGCAGGCAGCCAACAGCAACCACTGGGGCTTCAACAGCAGCAAATGCAGCAGCAACTGCAGCAGCAACTGCAGCAACAACCACAAGCGGAAGGTGTTGCAGCAAGAGGGGCCCCTTGCGGTCCTTGGGTACAGCCGGATACAAGTCTAAGCCCAACCGCCGGGCATACAGGTAAGATGAATGCAAAGATTGCATGCGTGCATGCATGCATATACGCATGAACCACGATGCGCTGATAGAGGGGGAGAGACAGAGACGAGAGACAGAAAGAAAGATACAGACAGACAGAAAGAAACAGAGAGACAGAGAAGGGGGCAGAAGAGCAGCAAACGGAGAGGAAGAAGAGAGGAAGAAGAGCGTCTCTCTTCCTGTTTAACGTGTTTTTATTTCTCTCTCTTTTATTATTAGGGTTTAGGGTTTATGGTTGTGTTGTTGTGTGTTTGTGCTCAGAGATTCGCTATCAAGGAGATCCTTTGCTGCTGCTAGATGTACCTCCTTCCTTGTGTCTGCTACTGCTGACGCTGCAGGGTTTGCATGCATTATTAGCAGAGGAGGGCCCCTGTCTTTCTTCTGCGTTACCCCTTCGCTTCCAGCATAAATGGTTAGTACCCCTATTATATACAACAGCAGAGTATGGATTTGCTGCATGCAGCCCCATTTCATGGGGGGATACACTAGAGGGATTTGTTAAACATTTTCCTGAGGTGCTTACTCTTACAAGGGGGGCCCCATGGGGGCCCTTCAATACAGCAGATGAATCTAGGGGGGGAACCAACAGCAACCCCACCGATAACAACACGCATAACTCCTTCACCGTAGCGTCCGTTAAGACACCCCAATTCAGGGCCGTTGCTGCACGCATGCGACAGCTGCTAGCAGCATAAATGCACCATCTGCATGCAGCCGCATGCAGATGCATGCAGGCATGCATGCATGCGTTCCGGTGGGTGCATGCGTGCATACAAGCGCGATGGTGCTTGCATGCATTTGGTTGCATGCATCAAGTGCATGCATGTGCATGCATGCATGCGTGAATGCATGCTTGCATGCGTGCATGCGTCATGGAGAGGACGAAACGATACAGCGGTCTTCGCTTCTTCTTCTTCTTTTATTATAAAAGTTATGTATGCGTCTGAATAAGGGCATAAAGACGAATAAAAGATTAATACAGTTGTTGCATGCAGTGTAGAGCTCCCTGTACACCCCAAAATAAAAAGGATCCCCTCCTCTATAATTTATGTTATAAACGCATGCATTACTGCATGCATAGGCACAACAAGGAACATACTCTGTGGAGATATAAACGTATTATATATATAGATCTATATGCATATAATATATATACATACATATACATACGTATATATACAGATCTATATGCGTATATTAATATATACGTATATATATACATTCATACATCTATATAAATCTATATGTATATTATATGCATGCAGATACCCAGACAAGAAGATCTGCATGTATTTATATAAAACATTTGTTTGTTTATGCGGTTGTTTATACACCGTAAACCGGGTGTACGAACACCTCATGATTGCATGCAGATCTATGTAATGAACTGTAGAGGAGGAGCGTTGCTGCACATTGGGGTGTATGTAGACCTCTTTGCATGCGCATGCATGCGTGCATGCATAAAAGCGAAGAAAAAAAAAGGTGCCTGTACACCCTACATAATACGTGAAAAGGGATGTACACTACAGGTGGTTAACTCATCTTTTTATTATTTACATATAAACATATATTTATATATATACGTATATACGTATATATACGTGTACATATATATCCATATATATTTATATATATACGTACATATATATACATATATATTCTTGCATGTTTTCTCGCATGCGTATTTCTCTGTCTCTTTGTGTCTCTATCACTTTCTCTCTGTGTCTCTTTGTCTCTGTGTCTCCTTTTCTCTATGTGTGTCTCTCTTTGTCCCTTTCTTTCCCTTTTTCTCTTTTTCTGTTTCTTTCTCTCCATATAAATGTTTGTATATGCTTGCATATACACACTAATTAACTAGATCTATTTAATTAGGCAAGAAAGAAAAAAGAAAAAAAAAAGAAAATAAAAGAAATAATAAATAACAAATATAATTAAATTAAACAAAAGAAATATTTTATTTATATATTCTTTTTTTTTTAATAAATACATAAAAAAAGAAAAAAAAAGAATAAATTAGTGTATAATAATAACGTAAACCCTAAGGGTTTAATAGCGATAGATGCTCCTTATATATAATACAGTAGCACTGCCATTAACTTGAAACTTCGTAAACCCTAAACCCTAAACCCTAGCAAAGAAGGGTTTAGGGTTTAGGGTCTGCAGCACGTGTTGTTTGCGCAACAGCAGCGGGGGGGAATAACAGCTTGGGGTGTCTCACCGTAAACCCTAAACCCTAATTTCTAGGGTTTAATAGAGTGTTTTACTAGATTATGTAGTGTGCAGGAGGAAACAGCCTCATCAGACCAGTTCAAACACTAAACCCTAGACCCTAGACCTTAAACACTAAACCCCAAACCCTAAACCCTAAAACGAACTTAGGCCGTATGTCGTCAGTTACTGGCAGTGTACAGACGGCCCAAAACATTGTATTCATTGGACTTTCGCATGCACTAATGTACCTCTCTATTCGGCTCCCAACCCTAAACCCTAAACCCCTAAACCCTAAACCCTAATTCCAGAATTGTTAGTGTCGCACCCCATCCAAGCGTCCCGAGTCGGGCGGCGAATAGATTTATAACGAATTCTGCATGCAGGCAAAACCAGTTTCGTGTTGAAAGCTAAACCGTAAATCCTAAACCCTAAACCCTAAACCCTCAGGGCCGCCTCGCACGCACGGTGCGGGTGACCTTGCGGGACGTCTCCTGCTGTCCATCGGTAAACCCTAAACCCTAATCCCTAAACCCTAAATCTGCAAACACTAAACCCTAAGCTAGAGGCACTAAACCCTAAACCCTAAACCCCCAACTGTCTAGATCTCAAAGACGTGTCTGTGACAGGGGAATGAAACAACGCAAGCCCGTGAGCGTCCAGGGTTTAGGGTTTAGGGTTTAGGTTCTGCGCCTCTGAAGATAAATACTTTTTAGGGTTTTATATTGAAATGGTTGTTTAAAAGATGTAATAGAATTATAGAAAGTGCGAAAATTACTCGAAAACGCTGCAGTTACAGCGCAAAGGCTACGGTGTCTTGCGCTAAGAGCAGCAGCAGCAGCGACAGCAGCAGCAGCAGCAGCAGCGGCAGCAGCCCTGCAGCCTATTAAGCGGCTCTATCTTTTTAGCAAACACTAATTATGTGTTGATGGATATTTTGAAGTGAAAACAAAAGCCAGAACAGGCGCTCTTGCTGCTGTTGCTGCTGCTAGTGCAGCTGCAGCAGCAGCAGCAGCAGCGGCACCGGCGCTGGGGGTCGTCCGGAGCCGAAACAGCAGCAGCAGCAGCAGCAGCAGCAGCAGCGGCAGCAGCAGCAGCAATTGTTGAGCAGAGTCATGTCATGTTTTACTAATTATGGGTTTACTCAACGGGTGAAAGGCAGCTGCAGCAACTGCAGCAACAGCAGCAGCAGCAGCAACGGCAGCAGCGGCGCTGCCCCGTTTGACTCAGCAGCAGCAGCAGCAGCAGCAGCAGCAGCTGTCTCTTGCCCTGCTGCTGACTTCCTGTTTCTCTGTCTCCTTTGCATGCATTAAGAGACACTTGGCTCTCTTAAGAGCCCCGATTTCTCCTTCAGGGCCCTCGCCTGCCCGCTGCTGATTCGGCCGCAGCGGCCCTCTTGTTGTGTCTGCTGCAGCAGCAGACGCAGCAGCAACAGCAGCAACAGCATCAGCAGCAGCATTCCTTTTGTCCATAAACAACAAAGATATAACCCCTTAAGGCCTCTTCATTCGCGTCTCCTGGGGGCCCCCTGCCGCTGCCGACGCCGGCTGCAAAGAGACGGCAAGGGTTTAGGGTTTAGGGTTTAGGGTTTGGGGTTTAGGGTTTAGGGTTTGGGCTTTAGAGATGAGCGATAAAGACGGCGAACCTATAAACACTCTAAAGTGCAGTGTAGAGCCGCCGCATGAGTAACGCCCCCGGTGGACAATAGACGACCAGCAGCAGCAGCAGCAGCAGCAGCGGCAGCAGCAGCAGCAACAGCAGCGGTAGCAGCAGGGGTTCACCAGCAGCAGCAGCAGCAAACAATGGAACAAACATTGATTAAAAACGCTGATGGAGCCGCTGAGGCCCCCTGTGATGCAGCAGTTGCGAGGGCTGCTGCTGCTGCTGCAGCTGTTGCTGCTGCTGGGAGTCTCAGCAACAGCAACGGCAGCAGCAGCAGCAGCAGTAGCCAGATAGCTCACAGCAAGCTTCAACAAGAACCGTCTGCTACATCACTAAGACCAGCAGCAGCTGCATCTGGTGACCAGCCGCAGGGAACAGCATCAGCAGCAGCAGCGGCAGCAGCACCCGCCGCAGCAGCAACTGCAGCAGCAGCAGCAGCAGCAGCAAGAATTGGCAGCAGCAAACAAGGAGAAGATGTGCAGTGGAATAGTCTCCTCTGTAAACATTTCCTCTTTGGTCGCTGCGCTCGTAAACGTTGCCGTTTCTTGCATGCAGAGGGAGCAGCAGCAGACACCAAAGCAGCAGCAGCAGCAGCAGCAGCAGCAGCAGCAGCAGCAGGTACTGCCGCAGCAGCAGCAGCTGCTGCTGCTGCTGCTGGTGGTGCTGCTGTGGGAGATGTAGGCTGTGTAACAGCGCATGCAACTCCTCCGCATACACAACATGGATACGATTTGCAGCAGCAGCAGCAGCAGCAGCGCCAGCAGCAGCAACAGCAGCAGCAGCAGCAGAACATACACGCCACCAACGGACCATCGATGCAAGGTGAGACTTTTGCTGCAGCTGTACATACACCTACAAGAAACACTGGCAGCAGCAGACACAGAAGACGCAGCAACAGCAGCAGAAGTAGCAGCAGCAGCAGCAGCACGAATTGTTTTTCGCTGCGTGTTTGTTTGCTGCAGGACCCAACGGCAGCAGCAAAATGCCTGACGATAGCAACACCGGAGGCAGCAGCATAAAGCAGAAGCAGCAGCAGCAGCAGCAACAGCAGCAGCAGCAGCAATCGCAACGACAGCACCGGCAACAGCATCGGCAACAGAGGCAGCAGCAGCGTGCCCAGCAGCAACAGCAGCAGCAACAGCAGCAGCAACACTTCTACAAGGGCAGGTAAAGCATTATCCCAATTCCTCCTGCGCTGCTGCTGCTGCTGCTGCTGCTATTGCTGCTGCTGTTGTTGTTAATACTCTTTTGCTGCAATCCACAGCGGCTTTCTCCCTGCTGCTGTTCTTGCTGCTGCTGCTGTTCTTGCTGCTGCTGTTGCGTGTATGCGTATGTGTATGTGTGTCTGTGTGTTTCTTCTTGCTCCGCGTGTTGTCTCATCCCGTCTGTTGCTGCTGCTGCTGTTTCTGTTTTTGCTGCTGCAGAGGCGCGATGCTGCTCCCTGCATGCAGCGGGAAGACAGGGTTGCAGGCTGCGGCAGCAGCAGAAGGCACGAGCAGCAAAACTGCTCCTCAAGGGTCTCTTCGTGGTCTTGCAGATTCAAGTATGACTCCTGCTGCTGCTGCTGCTGCTGCAGCAGTTGCTGCTGCTGCAGGGAACACTGTTCCTGCTGCAGTTGGTTTGCCATCTGCTGCAGCAGCAGCAGGCAGCGGCGCGCAACACTTTTGCCTCCCGAATGCTTCTTGGGGATACAACAAACCAAGCCTCCCTGCATGCAGCAGCAGCAGCACGAGCAGCACACCAGCAGCAGCAGCTGCTGCTGCTGCTGCTCTTCGCGGCCACCGGCCCTCTGCGGCGGAGGAGCGTCATAGAGAAGCAACAGCAGTGGGACGTGGTTATGGTGGGGTGAAGGCGGCTCCTCCATCTGCTGCTGCGGCTGCTGCTGCAGCAGCAGCAGCAGCAATGGGGTTCCGTATAGATAATTGTGTTGGGGCCCCACAGGGGACTCTTAAGGATTTACGGGGTGTGCAGACAGCTGAGGGATTAGCAGATAAATACCAAGCTCCTTTTGTTTGTGTATATATTCCTTATTCTGGTTATTTAATTCATTTTCCTGGTACAAGAGAGTCTGCCGCTGCTGCAGCAGCAGCAGCTGCTGCTGCAGCTGCTGCTGCTACTTCCGGTGGTGGGTGCAGCAACAACGGAAACACACAGACACAGCATACACCCAATGTGCATGCAAAAGGAAAAAGAAACCCTACAGAGTACTGTACCAGTATGCCTATGCATGATGCAGCAGCAGCAGCAGCAGCGGAAGCAGCAGCAGCAACTATTCCTTCCTACTGCTGCAATACCGAGTACGAGAAACAGCAGCAGCAACAGTTGCATCTGCAGCAGCAACCGCAGCAGCAGCAGTACCAGCAACAACGGCACTGCTTAGCTAGGGGACCAGCAGCAGCGGCAAACCCCTACACATCACAGCAGCAGCAGCAGCAGCAGCAGCAGCATTTTACGGGGCAGCGGAGGAACTCCGATTATCAGCAGCATCAGCAGCAGTATCAGCAGCAGCATCAGCAGCAGCTGCTGCTGGCGCAGCAGCACCAGCAGCAGATGCCCCCACCGCCTCCTCCACCACCTCCACCACAGCAGCAGCAGCAGCAACTGCAGCAGCTGCCGCTGCTGCAGGAGCAGCTACAGGGACTATGCATGCCATCAGGTAAGGGAGGGTTTTCTCTTGCCTCTACTGTCTCTGTCTCTTCTTTCCTTAACAGCATCAGCAGCAGCGAGCAGCAGCAGCAGCAGCAGCAGTTGCTGATGGGGGAACCAACAACAGCAGCAACAGAAGGAGAGGAAGAAACAGCAGCATCGCAGCTAACTCCGGATAGCAGCAGCAGCAGCAGCAGCAACGGCACAAAAAGCAGCAGCAACAGCAGCGGCAGCGCAAGCGGATCTGCCTCTGCAGCTGCTGCCGCCGCTGCTGCAGCAGCTGCTGCTGCAGTTGCAGCCACAAGAAAAGGCGAACAGCAGCAGCAGCAACAGCAGCAGCAGCAAAAGCCTTTATGGTGTGGCTCTGTGGTGGGTCTCCAAGCAGCAGCAGCGCAGCACAGGAGTTGTTGGACGCAGGCTGCGCACGACTCGCAACAGCAGCAGCAGCAGCAGCAGCAGCAGCCGTTTTGGCTACCTTCATTAGATGCTCTTGATGGAGAAGCAGCATGGCAGGGAGGGGACTGCAGCGGAGACATTCCTGCTGCTGTTGCTGCTGCAGTTGCTGAAGCAGCGAGTGTTGCTGCAGGCAGCAGCAGCAACAACAACAACAGCAGCAGCAGCAGCATGCCCTCTAATGAAAAGAGAAGGGGGAAGCAGAACCTGTTTGCTGCCTTCCAAGATGATAGGCATGCAGCAGCAGCAGCAGCAGCAGCAGCAGCAACTCCTAGAGACATGGGGGAGCTAGCACAGCTGTCTCCTACTGCAGCACTAATTGCTGCTATATGGGGTGCAGAAGAACCCTCTACCCATCCTGTTGCTGTCTCCAAATAGCAGCAGCAGCAGCAACAGCTGCAGCAGAAGCAGCAGCAGAAGAGCGACAGCCGCAGTTGTCAACGCTGCAGCGACTGCCGCAGGAGCAGCAGCAGCAGCAACAGCAGCAACAACAGCCGCAATTGCTGCTCTCTTTTAGGCCTAGTTTAAGGCAACAGCAGCAGCAGCAGCAGCTGGTGCTGCTGAACCAGCAGCTGCAGCAAGAGCAGCAGTTGCAGCAAGATTATCAGCAGCAGCAGCTACAGCAGCTGCAATATCAGCAGCAGCAGCAGCAGCAGCGGGAGGATGTTTGTACAGGTGGTAGAAGAGAGACAAAGACGCAACAGCAGCAAATCGTGGGCCGTTACCCACAGGGCAGCTGCAGAGCTTCTCACTTCTCCCCAGCGGCAGCAGCAGCAGCTGCTGCTGGTGCAGCAGCTGCAGCAGCAGCAGCAGCAGCAGCGAAAAGGACGGAGAGAGGTGTGGAGCACAGGTGTTCGAGCTTAGGCGGTGTACAGACAGAGAACGCCGAGGCCGATCTTACCCATCCGTTCTCCATGGCTAGCTAGCTAGCTAGCCAATTACCTAGCTAGCTAGCCAGCTAGCTAGTTAAGGAGTCAGCTAGCTAGCTAGCTAGCTAGCTAGCTAGTTAAGGAGTCAGCTAGCTAACCAGTCTTATAGCTAGCTGGCTAGATAGCCTTTCTAGGTAGCCGTCTAAGCTGGCGGCTTTGTTGTTACCTAGCTAGCTAGCTAGCTATCCAATTGTTGTTCGCATAGAGGAGCTAGCCAAGTAGCCCAGCTAGCCAAGTGTACAGATAGCTAGCTGTAGCTAGCTAGCCGTTTGTAGACCTTGTTGTGACGAATGTGAGTAGATGCAGACAGCCGCCTAGAGTGCTGCGGCAAGGGAACAGCAGCAGCAGCAGCAGCAGCAGCAGCAACAGCAACAGTAGCACGAGCAGCAGCAGTAGCAGCAGCAGGTGTTTCTGCTGCTGCTGCTGCTGCTGTTGCTCTTGTGTTTGTGGGGCAGTGTGAGGTGTACGTACACCCCTTTGCTGCATGTCTTGATTGTGGTGTCTTGTGTTTTAATTGCTGCTTATGCAGCAGTCTTTTTGTTCCTTATAAAGGTCGCCTTATATAGTATATAAATAAATAAATAAGTAAATAAATAAATATAATTAATTAATTGATTAATTAATTAAATATAATTAATTAATTTATTTATTTATTGTAAAGAAAAAAATAAAAAAATAAAAAAGGCGGCCTCTTTTTCTTGCTGTTTTAACCGCCTTATTAATAAACAGCAGCTGCTGCAGTTGGGGTGTACGTACACCTCAATAACATGTAACTATTTACATTTGCCTATTTGCATTTATTTTTGTGCTGCAGCAGCAGCAGCAATAGCAGCAGCAATTGTAGCAGCAATAGCAGCAGCAATTGTAACAGCAGTAGTAGCAGCAACAGCGGTAATAGGAGCAGCAGAAGCAACATTAGCAGCAGTGGAAGTAACAGTAGCAGCAGCAGCGACAGCCGTAGCAGCAGCAGCAGCAAGGGCAGCACCTAACTAGTGTCTAGCTGGTAGGGTGTGTTATAGTTGTGCTGCTGCTGGTAGGTGTACACATAACGAACAGCAGCAGCAGCGCAGCAGCAGCAGCAGCAGCAGCAACTAATGCGTTAAATATAAATATAATGAAGTTCGTCACATACCTTTAGGTGTACGTTTTTTTTGTCTAAGGGTTTAGGGTTTATAAACCCTAAACCCTTAGACAAAAAAGCGTACCCTTAGACAAAAGAAATAGGAGATATAGTGCACCCAATAAAAGGAAAAGAAAGAAAAAAAAAACCCTTTTACTAATAAATTAATTACTCAATGAATTGTACTAAGAAAAGAATATCGAGGGTTTAGGGTTTAGGGTTTAGGGTAACGCCCAGGTCTGCGCATCCGCACTACTTCTTGCAGAATCGGGTCCTCTACTAGCTATAGACAATTCTCTTTGTTTCTGAGTCTAGTTGCCCGTTCTGTCATAGAAAAAGTTGCAAAAAATGTTCGAGTTATACGGCCAGCCAGGGAGGCACCAAGCAAATCAGAACAGGAATGACTAAAAAGAATCAGAAAAAAGACTAACAGGAAAAAATACAGTTCTATCCAAGCCGAGAGAAAACAATTCTTCCCTAAGAACAGCTTTTCCCTGCTGACGTGGTCGTCCCTGCACAGAAGGTCCCCTATAAGGTCATATATAGTGCTTTCTCTACTTATAGATTCATTATTTCTCTTCCTTATATAACACATAATCCCTTTTCCTCAATATTATGCAACTACAAGAACTAATTCACAAATATACTAATGCTTACTCCGCACGCGTACTACCACTGTCTTATTCGCTGACCTATGGCACCAACTGAGCTACACCTCTCTAGGTACCCTGCCCCTATGTCATGGTAGCACCAACTCCTTTCCACTAACAATTTATCCAAATTTCTAACATTTAGCATTACTTTCTCCCCTGACCGACTCACACTCACATTATACTACTCAAGACCTATCTATTGTAGTGTAGTGCAGCACTACAACTTTTTCCCCCCTTCTTTCTCAGACCCAAGCCGGCTTCCTATAAAACAGCCTATCCCAAGAAGCCGAACATTCACAAATCTCCCAAACAATGAAATAACATAAACATATAAAACACACGGAATCACTGTTGGTTATACAAACGACTCTGGTATAAACAAGACACACCCTCTACCCCCCCGTGCAGACGAAAAGGAGAGGCCGCGGAAACACCAAACTAACACAAAATTAGAGTTTAAACACCCATATACGTCAAATTAATACAGAAATTCATAGAAAAACACCAAATATAAAAAAAAAGAACATCATGTTGATGGGGTCTTGTTGGATGAGTCTCGTTGTTCGCGCTGACGTTGGCGTTGACGACGCCGCCAAGCTCGTACCAACGCCGGACAGCCCAAGAGGTGGTGAGCCGGCTCCCAGGAAGCTAACCCTTCCGGGGCACCCCTCCACTTGACGAAATAACGAGCAGATGCTCCACTCCACCGTTAATCTAATATATAGTCCACCAGGTACTGATCGGTCGGATACCCTGTCGTAGGAGGCCAGCCCACTGGTGAGTCCTGCGGGACTTGATCTGGCCGACTAGGGTGGTGGGCGACTAGTAGCGACACATGGAAAACATTATGACCCCCATAACTAGAAGGTAGGGTCAGGCGGTAGGCCACTTTACCGATACGTTCAGTAACAGCAAAGGGCCCCCTTTAACGAAGTTCAAGTTTATCGGCCGCTTCGTCTTCAGCGACTTCAGTATCTTCAATGAGCGTCGGATCGAATTCGGGAAATGCACGCTGCACTATTAGAAAGAAGTCAGTGACGCTCAACTATTGGAGCGCCTTCTCACGCCTACGCAGCTCGCGTTTCAAGACTAGTTCGTCGATACCTATGAAGCCAGCCCATGCGCCGTCATCGCGCAGAAACGCGACCCCCCTCTCTTCCAAATATTCTCGCGTCTTATACTCCAAGATCGCATCAACGGTATTATCCCAGTCTTTTTTCTTTATTTCGGCATCCATACGGGCAAATTCAACATGCCATTCGGACAGGAGGGTTGATTAACCTCCGGGCGCGCGCGAATGCCGGCTCAAGCTGCTCGACCATGCTCTTGAGTTATTCAGTAGCAGAGTATAGCAGTTTGATCATTTTCTCATACTTGCGTATCTCAGCGTTGACGGCCTTGCGGTAATCAGAGACCATAGCAGCACGCCTCTTCCACACTATTTCATGCTCGGGGTCGTAGCCCGTGTAAGCCAAGCGACGCGCCGCCTTAATCCGCTGTATCCGCTCCACCTTTCGCCTATCAACGCGTCTACAAAACACGTTCTTTTCATGGAAATATTTTGCTACCATGGCTTTGGGGTCTAATGGGTTACTTAGTACTAGAGCGCGGCGCATCATTTCCTAGTAGGTCAGGTGCATTGCAAGCATGATAGCACCGGGACTAGTTAGTTCGGACAGCAGGCGGTCCCACACGCTTTCAAGGTTTTCACGTTTATGTTGCACAGCTCTAGCTAAGGTTTTGATAGGAACTTCTTCCTTCTTGGAGGACGAACCAGCGGCATCCGCTGTTGTAGTCGCCTAGTGCTGCCTCGTCAATTGCTCGCTTCAATGCACCCGCGTTGCACAGGGCTTCGACGAATAACGTGTATGCCCAGGAGGCGCTTTCCGCTTCACCGCCGCCGCCGCGATCTTGGCTAGGATTGCGCCTACTTAAGTTATAAGGCGCCTCCTGTGTGGCGGCGGGGGACGGGGGC